AACCCATGCATGCTTATGTAATTACCAGCTGCAAAAGTCAAGAGTGAGAAGAGCGGGAGGAGGAGGAGTGAGAGAAAGAACGGGAACTTGAAGGTGGCCATGTTCATTTGTTTTCTCTGTTTGCTCTGTTTCTGATAAAAGCAGAGCAGCGTATGATTAAGAGAGAGAGAGAGAGAGAGAGAGAGAGAGGTGTTTCTTAAGTGATGGGTTTGTGTATTTATAGAGAGAATTATGAAGGTGATGATGATGATTAAGATTGAGGAGGAGGAGGAGGGAGAGTGGAGGAGGTTAGTGGGGAAAAACAGAGGCAGGGGTTGAGAGTAGGGGGTGAGTTTGTGGAGCCCACGCGAGTGAAATGCCTAGCCAAAAAAAACAAAAATAAAAAAAAAAAAAATGCGGCATGGACATTGCGCAACGCGCCGGAAACCCCACATCTGCAGCACGACCGTTTTTTTCATTTATCATAATGGTGGTGTTGTTTGTTGGTGTTGGTGGAGTTGGGGTGTGTGTAGATTTTCAAAAACTCTACTGTGGTTCTCCAACCTCATCTACATCAGTGGGTCCCCTTTGTTCTTGAGCGTACACGTGGATATGATTAAATCAGACGTGCGGATGAAGTTTACATATGATGGGCTGGTGCTGTAGTTTGGTGGCCGACTTGTGTCTGTGTCAAGATGTACGTCAGATCCGTTGCCAGTTAGGTACCTGCATGGGTCCGATTTTTCTTCTGCTCTCTCTTTTTTTCACCTTGCATTTGGCAAACAACAATCATAATGTTTTTGGTGGAAAAAGAACAGCGTTTCTTCAAAATGTGGAAAAACAACAATTATGACCCAAAATGTGAACGTTGGTTTGTCCAGTACGCTTGTTTTCTTGCTCTTGGTAAGATTTTGAGAAAAAATAACCAAACCCATTTGATTAATTGCTGCAAGGTTAATGCTGCTTTAATGCCGAAAAGAGAATTACAAGACAAAGCCGCTAGAGCATGCATGCCTCAAGAGATCAAAAACGAAAGAAGGGTTTTGTATTTTGCATATGCCGCTTTCGTTTTTTTAATTTTTTTTAAATTTAGAAAACCCATTTAACATTAATAATAAAAAATAATGATAATCGATATAATTCCTTGATAAGTATTATTTCAAGTCGGCAATGGATGCAACTCTCTGTTAATACAAGTTATTATATTATCATCACTCAATCTTCTTCATCAACCATATTTAATTTCCGGCGCCGTACGTATAGTGCATTATTCTTTGTCAAGATAAGCATGTAAGAAGATTTCTTGGCCTTCTTGTAATGACTATTTGTTGCTACCGTTTTGCAGAACATTGTTCACATTGTTTGGTCATGGAGCAACACTTAAGCTCCACGTATATTATATATATATATATATATATATATATATATAGAGCTTCCATTGAGAAATCTCTCAAATAAGCTTATTTGAGGGACACTCTTTGTAGGCCCCACTCAGGATTGTATTTCACTAATCCAAACCAAATATTTTGTAAATACTCATTCAAAGATCATATATATATAGTCTCATTCTATTGAGAAATTCCTCAAATAAAATTATTTGATAGACACTATTTAGGGTCCCATAAGAATTTGTTTTCAATGATCCAAACCATCTATTTTATAAGTCTACATTCATAGATCATCTTTGTAAAAAATTAGACAAATCGAAAATCGTTTCGATATCCAATTATGTCATACAAATTCAATGAATACAGTGCTTCCTACAATTCAATGAATACAGTGCTTTAAGAAAGTAAAATTTCAATAATTTAATTGAGTGGTCAAATTAAATCGAATTCAAGTGATTTTTTTTATAGAAATGATCTTTGAATGAATATCTACAAAATAGACGGTTTGGATTAGTGAAATATAATATGAAGTGAGCCCTACAAGGGTGTTCTTTAAATAAGCTTATTTGAGGGATTCCTCATATGAAGTTTTCTATATATATATACATAAATTATCCTATGCGGACGAACGTTATTATTGTGCGAACATCATGTATTTTGTATTACCTCTCCTTATTTTTTTGCCTATTTACAATAGCATCAACACAATAATAATATGCGGATATCCGAATATATATATATATATGTAGTAACCCTATACAAACTTGTACACTACAATGTCGTTTGGCTATTTTGAATGGACACATCAATCCAAACTCTCTTAGTCAACTAATAGTTAACCACATTAATAATGTCTCAGAAGAGGCACATTATTAAAAATTATATATAAAGAGAGAGAGGCTAGATGTTACTGTCAGAATGATATATAATTAGGTCATTTTAACAACACCAATTAGATATAGGGCTCTTTCGATAACTTTATGTTTTGTAAATATGAACTTAGTCAAGCTGGCTAGAGTAGATATATTCTCCACTTTTCATCAAAGTTCGAATCCCCTTCCTTGTAGTTTTGATTAAATTAAAGTAAAATATATTACTTGTATAACAAACAACTTCATGTTTTAACACCCCTTAGAAATATTTTTCCTTACTTAACAAGAAGTGTTAAATGAGAAAAGCCTCTCTCTCTCCATCATGGAAGTATATTTTGAGACGATCAACTATAATATTAATAAGGATTAGGTGATAAGCCATAACTTTGGTTGGGGAAATTACAATTAAACAAATCCAATTATGAAAGAATATGCAAATATATTGTAAGGATATGATCATTAATTTGGAAATCCAAATTACTGTGAGAGAGCAGTTAACTTGTCTAATTATAAGCACTTTTTATGTAGTAAGCATGGTTTTTTGTGGCCAAACCTGCTTTTGTTTTACTCTCTCCTCCCTCCCTGATCTCGCATCATAGCATGATCAGCTCATTTGTCTTTTTAGGTATATACAGACCCTACCCGTTTTATTATAATATATTATATATAAATATTATTGAATCAACAACGTCACTAATTTGAAAAAGAAATAATTGATGTGTAATCGGTCTCTCAAAGTCGTCATGTATATAATTAACGGCGTGTGAATTTTAGAGCATCTTTTGAGTCTCATACTCGTGTTAAGATAAACAAAAGCGGCCAATGTGGGGAAAGTTTTAACTTGCAGATGATCTCATATTCGAACCTTCATGATACCTTTTGATTGTGTGTGTGTGAAATTAAATATAATTGCTTTTCATTCCAAGAGGTTAGAAGTAGATAGTTTAGTTGGGAAGAAATGGGAATTGAATCATGCTCAATGACTTTATTCAGCAGCTGGGGAGACAAAAGGGTAGCTCCATTTTGACTTGTTTTTCTGAAAGTGTGTCATTCACATTAACAACTCCTTAAGAACTTAGCACTAGAATCAATGGGCGTTAGATTGGTCCAGGTCTTTGGCGTGCTTTCAAATAGTCTTGGATCAAGTCCCTGTGATACCAATGGTGGAGCCAGAAATTTTATCAAGGAAGGTCAACCTTAAATAGTGAGAGTGAGAATTTTGCCTAATTGATTGGCTCATTTGATTAAAGAAATCACGATAAATCTTAGGAATTATGAGGTGTGTTTATGTGTTAGAAAAAAGATACTACTAGAGCCAAGAGGGATTTTGTACTGTACTTTAATTGTTATAGGATTTAAATAGTAAACAAAGAAACGAGAAAATTGAGAAAGTTAGTAAACTCAAAAGATGAGAAAGGTCAGCCATGTAATATAGAAAGTAATTCAGTCAAATGCAACACATACAAAAACAAATGATCAAAGGGTGAGAAGGGTCAAGTGACCCTTGTAGGCCTTAATTGGCTCCGCCCATTCGTGATACCCGTATGTTTGAGTTTTTCTGCCTCCCAATTTCTTAATTTGGCCCAAAAAAACAAAAAAAAAAAAAAAAAAAAAAAAAAAAATTTATATATTAAATTAATATGGCATCGGTTTGTGGTATAAATATGATAATATAGAAAATTTGATTTGTTGATCATGTCGGTATACATAGCATAACATGTTCCTGGGACTAATATTTACATGGCAATATTTTAATTTTGTTGCGTAGGCAAGTTGTCCACATTTATCAATTACATTTTGTCTGCACTGCAGCAGGAGATTTCCTTGGGGCAATTCTTGCCTTCTCCACTAAGAATATTCATTGGGCAGCAAACTTTTGGTTTCGTTTGCATTTTGGGTGTGGACTTTGATATGAAACATGAGTTGGATTTGACATGGATTTTCAATGGGAACTAAAGACCAATAGCAATCCATTTATACATGGCACACCAAAGTGCATTAGGTTTGTGTAGAAAAATTATACAATCGACAAATTATTGATGATGGCTTTCCTATCTAGACTAGCTCTCAACTAGAGATTTGATATCATGTTGATTACACTAGTTAACGATGGATTATATCAACTAACACTCTGCTTGATCAGTTGGATTTGACACCTTCTAGAAAACAAGCCATGTTATGGGGGGTTGTATTCTGCCCAAACAATTAATAAAAGCTTTAAGTAAACCCAAATTTAAGAATACGGAGGGAAGCCATGATTGTACCGAAGATGCTTACGCGGCGAAGCATCACTACGTCAACGCTTTTGGCCAATGAAGTATTTTGATGTCAATAAGAGAGCTATTATCGCCTAATTCTCTAATTTATGTTTAAACAAAAAGTTATATTTATACGAATATGAGCAGAGGCGAAACTAGAACTGTGACGTTGGGGGACCGAAATGTAAATATAAGTTTGAAAAATACGTACATGATTCTGGTCCAAATGAGTATCGATTAGTTCTCAGCAAAAATTATTCCAATAACCCAACAGAGAAAATGGGCTTACTCTAATTAGATATTCTAAAATGAGTGTGGCCCAACTGAGTCTGTCAAGCCATTTGCATTCAATTGGCCGAATAAATGAGCAACCAGTCTTTCAACAATCCATTTGTCGTTCGTCCATTCCCTTCCCTTGTTTAAAGGTTGAAAAGGGTGAGGGGTGAGAAAGAGAGGGAAAAGAAAAGCAAATTGAAACCAATTTGGTGAAGGGAGGCTTGAAAATGGGGGTAGGTCGCAGAGTCCCAGTCGGAGCACAGAGAAATATGTTGGGCGTCCAAAATCGGCCCACCCGCATCCTACTCTTAGTCGAGGACCCGGTCCTTCCCTCTCTCTCTCTCTCTCTCTTAGGGTTTTTATTTATTTATTTTGAATGATTAATTTTAGAGTATGCTTTGTATTTTTTGTTTTTGAATATTTTTGCTCAACTAGTGAATATTATCCATTTATGTTAGGGTTTAGGGTTTGTCCATTTTGCCCAATTTTTACAACTCATATGTTGTTTTTGTGGTTTTGAATTTGTTTCAAAATTTTCAAGGGCAATGCCTTTTATGGTTTTTCTATTCTTTTTGTTTGGGTGAAATATAATTTATTGATATATTTTTTTTGGTTATAAAAAATTTGTCTCTATGTACTTTTCAAACATTAGGGGTTATAATCTGGCATTGAATTTGGTGGCAATGGATGTTGTAATGTTGCAATTTGTAATTCACTCTCAATGCTGGAAATTTGTTTGCTTGTGTGTGTGTAGTGGGGAAATTTTACAGTGTTCAGGATCAAGAGAAGCACTCAACTGAAGAAGCTTATGATTGCTTACTGTGATAAGAAGTCGGTGGAGTTGGACGATATGAGATTCGTGCTCATTGACAAGGGTCGTCGTGTTATACCCAACCTGACCCCAGATGAGGTCCCCTCTCTCCATCTCTATATTCATACATTTGTATACGCGTGTGTGTGCGTGTGCGTGTGCGTGTGCGTGTGCGTATTTATCTATTCGTGTGGATTTGTGTGATGCAGTTTTTACTTTTAGCCGTTGAGTTTACAGAATTTGACTGAGTATTTGTTGATGCAGCATGAAATGGAAAGTGGGAATGTAATTTATGCTTTTCCGGCCCTATTAGGATGATGAGGAGGAGTCTGATGAAGTGAAGGGCACTTGTGGTAGCAAAAGAAATGAAGAGTATATAATGGTGGTTGCAATTGTAAGCTATTTGTTTTTGGTTCATAGTGTATGATCTGTTGTTAAGGCTTGAAACCCAATGAAACAGTTGTATGTTTTTGTCATGAATTTTCAAATTGGAATGAAAAACCAATCAGCTTATTTGTGCCAAATGCCAAAATATTATTGGCTGTACATTTGGGTGGAAAATCTTATGATTTTGTGTTCAATTTGACATCTATGATTGCATTGACAAAACAGGCCGTGTGTTCAGAAAAGATTCGACCAAAGCCAAAATATGGATATGGAGTTGAGCCATCATTGGTAAAGATGCTTCATGATGAGGCTGTTGATAGCATCATTCATTCTGCCTTGAATAGAAGGTGTGAAAGTTGACATTTGATATGATGAAAGAGAAATTAGAGCAAGGGGCTTGATCGAATATCAAGTGATTAAGAACATTTATCATCTTCAACTCCCTTTGCCTTATTGTTGTTTGAATCAAAGTATAGAAAAATTACAAGCCGCAAGGGACTTCAAGTGGTTAAAAGTATTTACTTATGCACCCGAAGTCCTAGGTTCAATTTCCACCAATAGTGCTTGTATTAAAAAATAAAAATTTACTAAAGCAAATGGTCATTGACAAGGAGAATTCAATTTGGGAGAAGGGTTTTCGGATTAGAGACTTTCTTTTTATTAAAAAATTTCAAATGATAGTCTAAACAATGAAGGTAGAGGATTTCTCTCACACTATGAGGATTTGAACCTAAGACTTCTTGTCTGGAAGTCAAGACCTTTATCATTGGCTAGACCCTATTGGTTTGTTTTTCTGGGGTCAAAATGATTCGAGACCCTTTATTTATGAAGAAGTATCACAAACAGAAAATGGGCCTAATCTAAAAGAAATTCTAAAATGGACCTGGCCCAACAGAGTCTGTCAAGCCGAGAGAGTGAACAGGAAATAGAAACCAATTCACTGAAAAAATTAGCAAGATTCTTTGAGGTCGGGGGTGAGAAAGAGAGGGAAACGGAAATAGAAACCAACCAATTCGGTGAAGGCAGGCTTGAAAATGGGGATCGGTCGCAGAGTTCCAGTCGGACCACAGAGAAACATTTTGGGCGTACCAAAACAGCGTCCCTCCCACATTACGCTCTTTGTCCATGACCACCTGGTCCTTCCCTTTCTCTCTCTCTTAGGGTTTAGGTTTTTTTTTTTAAATTTTAAAAATATATTTATTTTAATATATGTGATTTTGAATGATCAATCTACTAAGTGCATGCTTTGTACTTTGTGTTTTTGATATTTTTGCTCAACTTTTGAATATTATCTGTATACGTTAGGGTTTAGGGTCTGTCCATTTTGCCCAATTTTTAGAACTCTCATGTGGATGTTGGGGTTTTTGAATTTGTTTCAAAATTTTCACTGTGGGATTTGCCTGTGATCTTGGATATCAGTCATTATTTTTATGAGGGAAAAAAAAGAACAAAGATACTTGTTCATAGTTTTTATTTTCTGAATGTTTAAGGTAAGCAAGATGATTGCTACCTTTGAATCACAAGAGCAAAGCCTTTTATTTTTTGGTAAAATATAATTTGTTTTCTTTTAATCTCTTATGTACTTTCCAATGCTGGAAATTTGTTTGCTTATGTTTTGTAGAGTGGAAATGATTTAGTGTTCAGGATGAAGAGAAGCACTCAGCTGAGGAGGCTTAAGATTGCTTACTGTGATCGAAAGTCGGTAGAGTTCAACTGTACGAGATTCGCTTACGATGGTGTTGCTCTTATATCCAGCCGGACTCCAGATGAGGTCCCCTCCCACCCCTTGATGTCTCCCTCCCTCCATATTCATACATATGTGTATGCTCATGCTCGTGTTCATATATCCATCTATTTGTGCGAGTTTGTGTAATGCAGGATTTACTTTTGGCCGATGAGTTTTCAGAATCTGACTGAATATTTTTTGCTGCAGTATGATCTTGAGACTGGAGATGTAATTGATGCATTTCCGGTGCCAAGAGGAGGAGGAGCGCCATGAAGTGTAGGGTAGATAGCTGTGGTAGCAAAAAAAATGAAGGCTAGATAATAGTGGTTGCAAGCCATTTGGTTTTGGTTCACAGTGTCTGATCTGTTGTTGAGGCTTGAAACCAATGAAACAATTGTATGTTTTTGTCATGACTTTTCAAATTGGAATGAAAAAAACCAATCAGTTTATTTGTGCCAAATACCAAATATTATTGGCTGTACATTTTGAGTTGGAAAATCTTATTATTTTGAGTTGAAACTTGACTTCTTTGATCGTATTGACAAAACAAGCTTCGACCAAAGCCAAATTTGGATATGGAGTTAAGCCATCATTTGTCAAAACAGAAGGCGTGAAAAAGCTGTCATTTTATATGAAGAAAGAAAACTTACTGTCAAGACTTGAAGTTCAAGTGATGAAGAACGAAAAAAAAATTACGGGCCGATTGACCCGCGCCCTATGCAGGCCTAAAAATGGGCCGATTTGCTGAAATAAATCTAAAATGGTGCCCAGCCCCAAACGAATCTACAAGGCCGTATTTACTGGGCCGAATAATATACAATACGTCATATTTGGTGCCGTACATTTATTTCCATCCTTGAAAAGGCGTTGGGGGTGAAGAGAGAGAGAGAGAGAGAGAGAGAGAGAGAGACTGACAGAGAGAAAAAGGAGAGAGAAGCAAATTTGGCTAAATTGAAGAGTTGGGAAGTGGTGGTGGTAGGTGTCTAGATTCCTAGGTCTCTCATCAAGACTCACTCTTGAGCTTGGATCACAGAAAAACACAGAAAAAATGTCAGGCGTCACAAATCAGGAGGAGGACAAGAAGCCCACCGATCAGTCAGCCCACATCAACCTCAAAGTCAAGGGCCAGGTCCTCCCTCTCTCTCTCTTAGGGTTTTGGTTTTATTCATTAGAAATTTCGTCGCGATCGTAATAAGTTTGCGATATTGGGTTTTTATATATATGGATTTTTATTTATGTTTTTGAATTTTCGTGTTTAATCTAACTTGTTTGTACTTTGTCTGTTTCATAATTTTGTTCCATTTTAAAATTGTCTATATGAGTTAGGGTTTGCTATTTTGCCTAATTGTTAGAACTCCTTTGGAGATTTGAAGTTTTGAATTTCTTCTTCAAAATTTTCACTGTGTCGCTTACGATGTGTTTTTGTGATGCTCTGTCTGTTTGGGTATCAATCTGTACTTTCTGAGGAAAAAAAAGACTAAATACTTTTCGTTATACCCTAACCTGATTTTATTTTCGTAATATTGGAGAATAATGGGTTGTTTATGTTGGTGTACTGTGTGCATAACTTGCTAATTGGTTATGAAAGGGTTTTTTATCTCACGTATGAGGTGCAAGAGCAATGCTTTATATATTCTCTTTTTACTTTTCAAATATTTGCAAAGTCACAAGTTGACCATAAAGTTTTTCGGAAAATGGATTCTCTAGTGCTGTTTGTATGTGACTTACTGCTAATGCTGGTAATGGTTTGGTTATGTTATATAGGATGGGAATGAAGTGTTCTTCAGGATCAAGAGAAGTACCCAACTGAAGAAGCTCATGAATGCTTACTGTGATCGGCAGTCGGTGGAGTTCAATTCTATTGCTTTCTTGTTTGATGGTCGTCGTCTTAGAGCTGAGCAGACTCCAGATGAGGTTTCTTTCTTTCTCTTTGCCCATATGCCAGGATGTGCAGATATATCGATCTATACATCTGAATGCAAATTTACTTTTGAGTTTTCAAATTCTGACTGCAAATATATATTGTTTTTTCTTCTGCAGTTGGAAATGGAAGACGGGGATGAAATAGATGCAATGCTTCACCAAACTGGAGGTGCTTTTGCCTAGTCAATAAATGTGGATGGCTGTTTTCCTAGCAGGAGCCAAGTATATGTAGACTTTGACTATCTGGAAAATGCTGTCTGAAGTTTTAGTATCTATCAACACTTCTAGTCTTGTCTAAGCTTATTTCTAGATGTTTGTTGTCAATACATGGCAATTGTGTGTGTATGAAGTATGGTTTTATGGTTTCTAAGTATATGAGGTATGGTTTCTTCTTGGTAACTTTCGACGTGGCCATTTCTTTTTGCTTGGCTCTAATCTGCTATGCTCTTGTTGCTCTTCCTTTGACTTATATTTCTTTGGTGTGTCGTGATTGGTTGGCGACCCTTAAAAAAAAGGTTAGAATTTGATCATGAGGGATTGGATGGGTGCATCTTGAGATGGTTTGTGTAACAAATGCTTGGCTGTTAATTGATTTGTCAAGATGAAATTGTTCTGTGACTTGTTTTTAGTAGTGTTCTCCTACCTGATTTATCGTGTTCACTATGTGTTACCACTTGCATTCCATGATCAGAGTTTTGCTGATATCGGGGTTGGAGAGGAGAATACATACATTAGGAGAATCTTTAGGATGATCCTTACTGGCAAGTAGGATTGGTTTAAATGGCCTTGCCTGCCATCGGAGCCAATGTTTAGGTGATAAATCTGCATGTTACTTTGCATACAAGAGCATGTATCACATTAAACATTAAGACATTTGATAAGAAACCTTGCCTTGCCATCATTGACATTGATCAAGTGCCATTAGCATTTATCAGTTTTTGTCAGGTTAGCTTAGGATCATTTAAATTTGAGTGTTCGAATAGTTATTTTGGTCAAGTTAGTGAACAAATTGTTTCACCTATCAATAACAGTGATAGGACTATTTGCATGATTCTGTACCCTTCGATTGTAGTACGATGCTTGGAGCCAACACCTACTTACTGTTATGAGTGTTAAGGGGAAATCTTCTTATATGTTTTCACTAACATTATTATTTTTATCGCTTTGCTTGTTGCATTAGATTAGAGCAGCCAGTGTTTGGCAGCTGCTTTACATTTGCCCTCAGCCCCTAGATTAAATCTTTGGCACCTGTGCTTCAGGAATCCATCTGTATTTCCTACACTCCTCTGGTGGTCAGGTTGGATAATTTTTCTTCGGATGTTTTAACTGTATTTTTCAGTTAACTTCCCTTTTCAGTTGTCATCATAATACTATTCACATGCTTCATTGTTTTAATTTTTTTAAATGATTTTGGGGTCAGCAGCAGCGCCTACTTACTAGTAGGTGAGTTATTGTTCCTAAGGTGTATTCATTGATAATATCTCTTGCTTTGCCCGTATTTGTTGCATTTGCATAGATGATTTGAGTTTGGCATTAACCTATAAGAATACTCCACGAACTCCACCTTTGCAAACCTCTCCAGCGCACTTGCCAGTCACCACTGTTGAACCAAAAAAAAATTCACAGAACTCTTTTTGGCAAAAGTTTCTATCGGTCCAAAGCCCTAGTCCTACAAAACCATCTAATTTTTCCTATGGCAATGAGACTAAATTCAAATCTCTCAAACACAAATTCTCAATTAGTGGGCTGCACTTACCTATTAATTTCAATTTTTTTCCCATGGATCAAGAAAATCTCCAAATTATCTCAAAGACACAAATTCTAATAAACAATATAATTCTTCACATGTGTGATATGTATACACATTATTTTTCGTATGTATTGTGAGTTCGAATTTTTGATTCTTTATAATTTGTAAGAAGCTCTCTTACACACATGAAATCCTAGAAACCATTGTTAATGGGCCACATTTACTCATTAATTTCTAAATTCCAAACTACGTTGGTTTGAGCCCTTCGAAAGGATAAATAGGCAATCTAGATATTCAACCTATACGCAACTGTCCAAATCTTAAATTCGAATCGAATCCCTGGTTTATTTAGCTAAATTAACTCAAACACTTCTCAATACAATTCAAATCAAATTTCCCTCATAGTGAGTCATTTATTCATTGCAATTCTTTGAACTACGAGTGGCTTGATTTTTGCGAGGGATACGTAGGCACCCTGAGGTTCAACTTAGGGGTAACAGTAAAACCATACACACACTTTATGATGGAATCAAAGGGTGTTCCCTTGAAGTAAGGGATTGTAATTAACAGACACAGCGTCTCAAATGGGTCAAACCTAAAATAATAAAATTTCATTATTTAATTAGTGATAGTGAAATTATATTGGGAGTACTTGGGCTTTGACCGATAGAAACTTGGCAAAAAAAGTTTGTGTGAATTTTTTTTTGGTTCAACAACAACCATCCAGGAAATTGAAGGACTGAAAATGCAACATCCAAGACCCGTTAGGAGAAGTTGACCTATTGTGGAACAGGGGACCAAAGTGGAGAAAGACCAGCCAGCACTAATAAGATTGGGGTGTGCAAGCTTATCCCAAATTCTGCTCAAATTGAGGTGGAATTCCCACCTACCTCTTGATATATTGCCATAGAGCCCACGAATCACCTCTCTTCAATTTCAAATTGGACATTTCTGAAGTCCTGCTCAATAGCAAAGACGCAAGGCTTCAAGCACCGAAGACACCACGTCTAGAAAGAGGAGACCAGGCATCATCCATATTTACCTTGAAGCATTGGACATGAGTAGGGAGACATTGCTGATTTTGCTGCACATATAGGAATTCAGGGGGCGAGCAGCAACATGTTTGGTTGCTTTAGCTGCAAAAAAACTACGAAATTGCCAATGTGGTGAAATCAATGACCATCGACGATGATGTGCGGTATAATGCGGGCTATATCTGTGAATGAGTAGAATGGTGCCCGAGGTCCGCAACTTCAATAAGCTTCATTAGGTTTATACAAGAATTCTATAGTAAGGAACTTATATATGCCCTTTAGGTGATGCCTTATTTTTTAATCATTAGATCAAATTGGTTAACCTGATCTAACGGTTAAAAGATAAGAGCTTATCTAAGGGTCATATATAAGGCCCTCGCTATATAATGGAACCCTAATCCAGTGGCCTTGATTGCAAACCAGTGATCTCAGATTTGAATCCCCATGACATCTTGGTAGTGTGTGTGAGAATCCCCCTTCCTCACAGTTTAAACTATCACTTGTATTAAAAAAAGGGGGGCCCTAACATTGACAGACTATTACTTGTCTATCTACCACTCAGATTATCCTTCTCTCTTGGGTTGCATCGACAAATCCTAAACGTGATCTCTCGCGTCCATATCGTAAATGCATAGAGATAATAACTTGGGTGCTTGCGCTACCTCCTTTAAATTTCTTGGTGTTCATTCAATTAGCTTTAGGTTATGTACCATGATTGTTCACTGATTGGTGGTTATCTTCTTCTAGGTGCTTCAACGATTGCAATTTTGCTGGAGTTCGTGGGACACAAATTATTAAAGTAGCAAACAAACATTTTTAAATTGCCACATATATCAACATCTTCAAATTATTAATTAGTCGCAAAGGTAGATCCGATGGATTGTCTATTCTTTCCAAGTCGTCACATCAACCTTGTTTTTCATGCTCAACATAATTAACATGATTGGGAGCTAAATTAATCCAGATGATATTCCCTGATTTTGGTCAAAACCTTAATTAGATCAATCTCATTTCAAGGAGAGCACTTCATATCCGTATCTAGCCAATTTCAAGTCCATAATGACGAGTAAAAAGCACCAATTTTTTCAAAGTAAAAATTACTAATAAGAATATGAGTAGAATATGTATATATAGCAAAAATCCTGTAAATAAAAATAAATAAATAAATAACCAGGCATATAATGGACGACACGATTGCGAATCATTAATGAATGTATTACACATTTTCCAATATATGATTCAGAATCTTCTATGAGTGTGTGGTCAAATGTGATGCGCCCAATTAGAAAATTCTAGCGTGATTGTATCCCTTTTAAATTAAAATTTATGTAATTAGTATTCTTATTGCGCAGATATTCTCTGTGTCCAATTTTTTTGAACTCTAAAAATATTAAATTATGCTCTTTTTGGGGCTACAAGAAGAGTTATTTGCACTAACACTCTTAAATTTTCGGTTTTTTTAACAAAATCCTATGGGGTTTCAGAAATAACATAAACACTTCCTGAGATTTTATAATTTTCACAAAATTCCTTTTCCTTGATTGTTTGTCTAAAACTTGACGATTTCATTATAAAATAAAGTGTTTAAATGGAAAAATCAACCTCAATGAATGTATGTGCAGTCTAATGTCAAAAGTTAGCTTTGTCATTTGGAGAATTATTTTATATAAAATTATAAAATCATCAATCTTTGATGAAAAATCAATAAAAAGGGGTTTTGTGAAAGCATTTTAAAACCTCAGGAGATATTCATGTAATTTCTTAAATCTTAGGGAATTTTGTAAAAAAATAAAAAACCTAAAAGGGTGTCAGTGTAAATAACTTATACAAGAATTGGGGAAAGAATTATATCAATCTTTTCCTATCACGTGGCATTCATACTCGCCAAAGTCAAAATACATAGCAAAAGACTCCTGGGATTGGCCAATCAAATGGGCGCCCCCAATGAAGCTCACGTGGTCTTGACCTCACACAAATCACACCAGGAATATAAATAGATAGAGGCCCCTGGTGGGAGGAAGAAAAGAGAGAAGAAACCAAAAAATCTTAATAATATTATGGAGGACAATAAGAAGCAAGGTATTGTCCTCCAACAATGGTGTGCTCTACTGTCCATCTTTGCTCTCATTTCCTCATCTCAGTCCTTCCACTACGGCGACGCCCTCTCCAAGAGCCTCCTCTACTTTGAGTCCCAGCGTTCCGGGCGCCTACCCTATAACCAAAGGGTCACTTGGCGTCACCAGTCTGGCCTTACCGATGGCCTTGAACAAGGGGTCAGTCCATTTTTGCATTACAAATCTTCAATTTACCAAACCGGACCGTGCCCACTCCTATGATAAATGTGCTTTTTGTGTTTAATGCTGTGCCGTTTTGTTTGGCCTTCATGTGTATTTTCAGGTGGACTTGGTGGGAGGGTACTATGATGCTGGTGACAATGTGAAATTTGGTCTGCCAATGGCATTTACTATAACAATGCTGTCTTGGGGTGTGATTGAATACGGCAGAGAAATGGAGGATGCTGGAGAGTATAAGCATGCTTTGGAAGCCATCAAATGGGGGACTGATTATTTCATCAAGGCCCATACTCACCCAAATGTTTTGTGGGGTGAGGTAATAATTCAATAATAATGTCAAATGAATTTTTACTTGAATGAATTTCTACCATATATATTCATAGTTTTGTAACATAACATATCAGATTGTTAAAAGGTTGAGTCGGTTCAATTAATTTATTATGAGTCTGTAATTTTAGGTGGGTGATGGATTTACGGATCACTACTGTTGGCAAAGGCCTGAGGACATGACCACATCTCGTCAAGCCTACAAGGTCGATGAGAACAACCCGGGATCAGATATTGCCGGAGAGACAGCGGCGGCAATGGCGGCAGCTGCCATTGTGTTTAGGAAAACCAACCCACATTACTCTGGCCTACTTTTGCACCATGCACAACAGGTATCATATCTATAGTTAATTAATGTCACATGTTGTCATATATAGAAATATAAAAGGTTGATATACAAATATGCAAAGTGGGTGTACTGGTTACCAAAATGTAATGGTTTTTGGACCTTTGGTCAATATGCACTCTCAGATATTTTACTATAAGGTCCTACATTATGAAATTCATATAATATTATAATTAATTTGGGATTTGGATTTGTTGGCAGTTGTTTGAGTTTGGTGACAAGTATAGGGGGAAGTATGATGAGAGCATTGAAGTGGTCAAGGGGCACTACACATCTTGGAGTGGGTACATGGATGAGTTGCTGTGGGCAGCTTTGTGGTTGTACAAGGCCACAAACAATGAAGATTATTTGAAGTATGCTTTAAACAATGCTCAGGCTTTTGGAGGCACCACTTGGGCCATCAAAGAGTTTAGCTGGGATGTTAAGTATGCTGGTGTTCAGATCATTGCTTCAATGGTACATAAACTCAATCTTGACCACTTTTCCACTTCTATTTTTATCCCCATTTTTTAACAATACAAACGATAATCTAAATTATAAGGGGGAGGGGGTTTCTCAACGCATACACTACCAATGCGCAATGCGAGCTCGAACCAGAGACCGCAAATCAAGCCCTTTTCCGATTAGAATTAGCTACACCCTTATATACTACTGTTCACAACTCTATATATAATAGGGATGTGGCTTACCATGTGATTACTAAACAAATATATAATTAATTAGTTTTAATATATAATAGGGGATTTGACTTACCATGTGATCACTGAACAAATATATAATTAATTATTTGGTTTTAATTCCTTAACTCTCATATACGTTTTCTTTTTCAGTTACTAAAGGAGGAGAAGCATAAGCAACACATGCACGTACTGGAACAGTACCTTTCAAAAGCAGAGTTTTACATTTGTGCTTGCCTTGACAAAAACAATGACACTAATGTGCAACGCACCCCAGGAGGCTTATTGTACATCCGCCAGTGGAACAACATGCAGTATGTTTCCAACGCAGCATTTCTACTCACAACGTACTCTGATTATCTCCAAGCCACTCATCAGAATCTAACTTGTGATAAAGGGCGGGTGGGCCCACAAGAACTCCTATCATTTGCCAAATCACAGGTTGATTACATTTTGGGTTCTAATCCAACGGCCATGAGCTACTTGGTGGGTTATGGTCCAAAATACCCCCAAAGGCTGCACCACAGAGGAGCATCTATAGAGTCCTACAAGAGGAACAAGGGATTTATTGGGTGCACTCAGGGGTATGATAGCTGGTATCGGATGCATCGTCCAAACCCAAATGTGCTAGTTGGGGCCCTAGTTGGTGGGCCAGATGGCAATGATGGATTCAGGGATGAAAGGTGGAATTACATGCAGACTGAGGCATGTACTTACAATACAGCAACATTAGTTGGTGTTCTTGCTAAATTGGATAGATTAGAAGGTGCCCCAACTAGCATTAATCAACCAACTAGGGCCCCAACTAGCATATTTGGGATGAAAGCGTCTCTTAATCAACCATTAATAGCTTCTAGCTAGCTAATAGGATGTATGTATGAAAGTGTCTTTGAAGGGTCTGATAATTTTGTGAAGCAAAGCACCATACATTACTAACCCAATGTACAAAGAAAGAAATGCAAATGGGGAATAAAGAAGTTTAATTATCTGACAGAAAGATAAATAAGTTTACCAATTTTCATTTTGCAGTTGTTATTATTGGCAATTGAAAATAGTCATTAGTAGCTTCTAGGCAGATGAATGGTTCTTTTTGGTGGGTAATAGAATATTTTTTTGAATATAAGCGATAGTATAAACTATAATGGAGGAGAGATGAATTTCTCACTACCATAGTGCCATAGAGATTCAAATCTGACACTACTGGTCCGCAAATCAATGCAACTGGATTCCATTCGCGGTTGATAATATATTTGAATCACAGAGTCTGCTGTTTTACAACCAACACAAAAGTTATAGCTTATATTTCTATTAGGTGCATATGTGGCATGGGAAATTAGGAATTATAACACAGACACGAACCATTACGCTGAAGGAAGGAGTTATGATATTCACGGACATTTTGGGGATTATTTATTTAATTTTTATTGATGATGGAATTATATGACCCAGCCGATGAGTTTGCAGAGCATCCAAAATGGTTGTCAAATTCAAATTGCCTGGAGCAACCGTACGTTGATGCATCAACCTTTGAATGCTATCAGTTACATCGCAGGATGTAACTTATGAGTATATTGCAAAAGTGAAAACAACGTGATCATGTACCAGCCCTATTAATGAATTGCAGTTGCAGACCATGATCCAAATAAGCAGCAGCAGCAGCGGCTTTATGTACATATATTTCAAGTTTTCAATCAAAGCTACCAAGTACACAAATGCAATTGCTTGCTATACCATATAAATGAGCGCCAATTTGCTTAATGAGGGATTATAAACCCTAAACCAAATACAGCAAAATATTTGCCTCAAGGAGATATATATTTCCATTCAAAACATTCAAATTATATAAAGAAGGTTTATATTAACACTCCTCAACCAAGTTGAAGTTGAGTTCTTGGATATGTAATTTACACAATCTGGCTTCCCTTTGCTATTAATCTTTATGATATCCAGATTTTCTTTTATTGCTCAGAAAATCAAAACGAAGTATTAATTAGGCAATCAAAATTATTCAGTCATCATGTGGCCTCCTTCTGTAATCAGCACCAGGTTCATTTTGCTTGTACCTGTTCTTGACAGAGTCAACGCTAGAGTCCCCCAAGGTAGTCTCCTCTGTCACATCACATGTCTTGTCAGCAGTTTGACTGGCTACACCTTGCTCTGCCTTCTTCAGCTTCTCCTCAGCAACTCTTTTGAACTCCTCAGCTGTTGAAGGTGCTCTCTCTTCTATATTCATGTGGCTGCTGTGCTCTCCCTTGCTAACTTGACTGCTATGGTACCTCTGAATTAAAGTTCCACGTAGCAAACGTGGATTAGGCCAGTTGGTCAGGATAATGAGTCCGTCTTGCACCAATTTCAAGTCCCTCTCCCCGCAAATTAGGCTAATTTAGAATAGTTTATCACTTGTATAAAAAATATCTACATGTTGTAGCAATTAAGCCCCAATTGATTCACCCAATCATATTAGAAATCAATTTCTATTTTGACTTAAAGGGTACCTTAATTAGTTACAGATTAAGGAAGGGTATGATCATGAACATGATTATGATGTAAATTAATTGGTGATTTGAAACTTACCTGGTTGTGGCATGCTGTTAAGGACCTCAAAAGTGAGGAGGACCTTGATGGGAAGGTGTGCAGAGGAAAAAGATGGCCTCTCATGGCTGAACACCAGCTAGCACAGCTTGATGTGTTGATCGAACTCAGATTGCAATAAGACACACAGACAATGAAGTTTGTTTCCAAGGCATATGGATTATGAAGAAGAGCAGAAGAAATGACAATGCGGAGATGTCGGCGTACACGTGTCTCCTGCTACACAAACGTGGTACTGTGTGGATTTGCCATTTCATTCTGGAGCATGGCTTTTGTGTGTACATCTTTTCTTTCTTGAAATGTGTGTACTATTTTGGAGGTATATATCATCTTCTGGCAAGTGATCAGATCATTAACAAGGTCATTGGTATAAAAAAAATGAAAAATTAAAAAAAAAAAAAAAAAAAAAAAAAAAAAAAAAAACATATCTGTTCCTATATCTTTATCATTTATTCGCGTAACTCATCATGTAATAAGATAAAGGAAACTGTATGAAACATATTGCATGAAAGTTTTACCATCCAATACAACGGTTAACAATCAATCCCTAATTTTGTACAAACTTGTATGGCAGACAAGTTTATCCAGTAAAGTATTAACTTCCCCAAAAAAGGAACAAAAGTTGCACCACATTGATATACGTAAAATCCAACTTCCAGCTAATTCAAACAAGTAGGGAACACCAATGAGATATAGTCTAGTGAACCAGTGGTTTTAACTTTTAAGTTAGAATTCTCATGACACATTAATTGTGTATGTGAAAAACCTCCTTTCTGTGTAGTTTTTGTCTATAACTTGTATTTAAAAAAAAAACATAGAGAACTAACTCATTCTTTAGATCATCTTGCATTGTCTTGTGAGGAAGACAAAGATGGATATGGAGTGGTTAAAACTCCCAACTTTACTTTATTGTTGCTTTCTTGATTTCCAATCGTACTTACTTGATAAGATTTCTTATTCCTAAGTTGAAACTCTCCTCTATATAAAGATGTTGATTGTGTTTTGTGAAAAATGCAATATGTGAGAGCATAGTGTTACATTCACAAACATTTATAACAATAAAAATTGAAGAAGATGAAAATACAATATCATAATAACTTGAGTTTGTTCCGTGGTTGAACAACTATTCCCTTAAGATATTCTCTCTCATACCTATTTCACCACAAGGGTTTTTAGGTTTAATGGTACCTTAATTTTGACCCGATTCGCATTTTGGTTCCTCAATTTCCAAAATTGTTCCTATGGTCCTTCAACTTTAGTTTCGTTAGGACTAATGGTCTTACCGTCAATTTTGTTAATTTTTCTGTTAAATGAAGGGGCAAAATGGTATTTTTGTATTATTTTAAATTTCCACCTTTTGAATATTCGTTTCACCAAAAAAATAAAAATACAAATACAAAAACTAAAAACTAAAACACCTTCTTCCTATCCTTAGTCAAACATGGTCAAGGGGTTATGGCTACTATGGCGAGAATAAGAAGGTTTTTAGTTTTTAGTTTATGTATTTATTTTTTGGGTGAAAAGAATATTCAAAAGGTGGAAATTAAAAATAATACAAAAAATACCGTTTTGCCCTTGCATTTAACATAAAAGAAAACAAAATTGACGGCATGACCATCTGTTCTAATGAAACATAAGTTGAAGGACCACGGGAACAATTTTGGAAATTGAAGGACCAAAATGCGAATTGGGTTAAAGTTCAGGGACCATTAGACCTAAAAACCCTTCACAACAATAATGCTAGCCATACCACATTTTTAAACCACTTTATGTGGCAACTGAGGTGACTATACCACATCAGTTCATGAGCAATGACTTCTTAAATTGGTTACTAATTTTTCCTAGGGTTAATCGTTTTATTAGTCTATGAGTTTAGACTCGATTTTTATTTGAGTCCCTCAATTTTCAAAATCATTCCCGCGGTCCTTTAACTTCACTTTCGTTAGGACAAATGGTCATGTCGTCAATTTTGTTAACTTTTTATGTTAAATGCAGGGGCAAAATGGTATTTTTATATTAAAACAAAAAAAATGAATACAAAATTCATATCTTTAAAATAACAATAAAAGAAAATCAAAGAAAAAACCAACCAAAAAAAACACATCAAGTTTGGGGGAAGTAGAAATCGGGATAGAGGGGGAGAGAGAGTTTAATTTTAATTTGGGTTACTCATTTTATTAGTCCCTGAACTTAGACTTGATTTGCATTTGAGTCCCTCAATTTCCAAAATTGTTCCCATGGTCCTTTAACTTCAATTTCATCAAGACAAATGGTCATGCTGTCAATTTTGTTAACTTTTCTGTTAAATGCAGGGATAAAATGGTATTTTTATATATTTTAAATTTTAAATTGATTAAAATATGAATAAAATATTAAAAACAAAATAATAATAAGAAAAAAAATCAAGTTTTTAGAAATAAGAACTAATTTTTAATTTGTAGTTTGACTGAGGATAAGAATAAGAATTTTTAATTTTTTATTGAATAATTATTATGTTTTAATTATTATTTATTTAGTGAATATTTAAATATGTTATTGATTTCACAAATGACTTAATAAATAGTAAGTACTAGAAGTTCAATGGACGTCAAAAAAATAAATCACTTATTTCGTTTGGTTGTCTGAATTAGATTTCCCCAGGCGCAAGTCCCCAGTCTTTGAAAAGCAAATGTACAATACTTGTATTATACATGTACGTACATATTTTTCGTGTTTAACACATGTATTTTTTTGCAAAATTTTTAATAAGACACACAAAATCCACATATATTATACACAAAATTCACACACATTATTGAATAAAAATAATATATATTTAAATATAATATAGTGGCTGAACTTTTAAGTTGTAATGTGCCGAAATAGTATAGCCGAGCGGCTATACGCGGATTTTTAAATTTTCCTTAGTAAAAATAGTATAGCCGCCCGGCTACACTCGGTTTTTCCCTAATTTTTTTTAAAAAAATAGTAGACACTTGGCTTTACTTTTTTTGACATGTGGAGCCTGTGCGGGTGTCTTTTGAATATATATATATATATATATAGTATAGCCGGGCGGCTATAAACGGTTTATAAAATTTTCTTTATTTTTTTAAAAAATAGTATAGCTGAACGGCTTTACTGGTTTGACACGTGGCACCTAGGCATGGGCTGCCCTTTTGTATATTTATATAGCGTATAGCCGTTCGGCTCTACTCGGATTTTTAATTTTTTGAAAAGATATAGTATAGCCGTGCGGCTACACTCTGCTAATCTAGCAAATTTCGCCGGCATAGATCTGTGCCGACGAACTTGTGTCAGGAGAGTTTTTTTGTATTAATTTTGAAAAAAAAAATTTGTTTCTTTACTTTTGTTTTTAAGGCCAACTGCTTTTATTTAATATATGTAATTAAGTAATATCTTAGCCTTTTTGAATTACTTTAATTAGTAATTATGTTTTAATTATTATTTCTTTAGTGAATATTTAAATATGTTACTGATTTCATAAATGACTTAATAAATAGTAAGTACTTCAAGTTCAATGGACGTCAAAAAAAAAATTACTTATTTCGTTTGGTTGTCTTAATTAGATTTCCCCAGAGCCCAAGAGCTCCAAGGCCCAAGTCCCTAGTATTTAAAAAGCAAACATACAATATTCATATTATACATGAACGTACATATTTTTCATGTTTAACACATGTATTTTTTTACAAAAATTTCAATAAGACACACAAAATCCACGTATATTATACACAAAATTCACACACATTATTGAATAAAAATAATATATATTAAAATGTAATATAGTGGCTGAACTTTTAAGTTGTAATGTGCCAAAATAGTACAGCTGCACGGCTATACTGAATGATGCAAATACTTGTAAATACTTATATCAGATGTTGTAATTACCAAGTCTTGTAATGTGGGCTTGTAACTAAGTAGGGCATTAAAGTGATTGCGATGTGATAGAGATTAAGTAAGTTGGACAACCCACCCACTATGAGTGGGTAGCAAATAATAATGAATCTTAGTGTTTAATAATTAATCTCAATTTCTTGTAGCAAACCAAAAAAAAAAATCAGAAAGGAAAAAAAAACAAAAACAAAAACAAAAAATCCAGAAAGTAAAAAAAAGAAACACGCCCTCAGTCCAGGCAATGGCTCAACAAGGTCTACAACAACTACTAGGGTTGGGCTCGGTCCGGGTTGGTTCGGTTTTGGGCTCAACCGGAACCCGAACCGAAGGCTTCGGTTTGGCCATTTTGAAAACCGAAACCAAACCATAGTTGATGAAAACCGACCACTTCGGTTAACCGGACTTGGTGGTTTGGTTTGGTTCGGTTTCGGTTTTTTGGCTTTCTTAGAGAGAGAGAGAGAGAGAGAGAGAGAGAGAGAGAGAGAGAGAGAGAGAGAGAGAGGAAATAAAAGTAATGGAGAGGAGAAGAAGAAAAAAAAGAGAGAGGGAGAGATGGAGAAGAAGAAGAAGAAGAAGAAGAGAAAAAGAAAGGAGAGAGAAGAAGAAGAATGAAAAAAGAAGAGGGAGACGGGGAGAGGGCGTGAAGACATATATAAGAATGAGAAAATTAAAATAGAGAGAGAGGGATTGATGAAGACAAGACAAATAGAAAGATTGAGAGAGAAGAAAAAGAAAAGATTGAAACTATGTATTATATATATATTTCTTAAATAATATTATATATAATATTTTTTAATATCTTCGGTTTGGTTTGGTTAAACTGTGAGTTTGAATATTGCAAACCGTAAACCGAACCATATATTTCGGTTTGGTTTGTGTTGAAACCGATGACCAAAAAAAATGAAAAAAAAACCGAACCAACCAAACCGATCAGTTTGGTTTGGGCGGGTTGGCCGGGTTTCGGGTCCAAATGCCCAGCCCTAGCAATACAATGGCCATGGCCCCATTTGGCAGCCCTAGCGTTCTAATATGCAAATAAAAAGAGAAATTTAATTTAATTTTTTTGGTTTAAAAGGAGGGGTGCACAAATAGAACCCTGTTGGATTTGTTGGTGATTGTTTTTTTGTTTTTTTGTTTCCGGTAATAATAATGATAGTAATTCATGGAGAAAAAAAAGTAAGAAGTTGTGCCAAAATGTGTTCATCCTTTGGATAAGAGCTAATTGATATTGAAGTACCTAGTTAGTTCAACACTTATTGTATAAGAAAATCACTTTTGAGGACAATGATCTGTTGGGGCCAAGCAAACGTTAAGGGCTCGTTTGGGAGGACCTAGTTAGTTCAACCAAATGTTAAGATGTCTAAAGTTTAGCAAATTAATTTATCATGCTGATAACTTAGAATTTTGGCGGCTTTAAATTGCCATAACGCTAGAATTCCATATTGAAAATACACTAAATGATACAAATATTTATGAGGATTTACATCAAGTTTCAATATTGCCAAGTTTTGTATCGTGGACTTATAACTAAGCAGGATATTAAAGTGATTGGCCATATGATCGGGATTGAACCAAACATCCACCATGGATGTGCAGCATACTTCTGTAATTAGGAATTTGGTTCAGCCCTTGATCTAACTTCCACTTTTATGCTAAAGTAGCAATCAAAGTCATCATATGCAAAAATTCTTGAGCAATTTTTTTATTTTTGTATTAACAGGTTCTCACTTCCACTATTGAGTTTCGTCTACAGTAATCAATTTTTATTTTTATTTTTGTATCTACAGAATCTGTGCTAGGGAAAGGAAGAATATATATGACAATAAGCTAATTAGTTGAACAGCTTAAATAATATTATTAGAATAAATTAAGAATAATTCATTTCCTGATAACTTAAAATGATTTTGGGACACGATTCTTCCACTCCTAGCTTGGACACGTTTAGGACTTTCTCCTATATTTCTTTAAATTTGTAATGGCATGTCTTTTATATCTGCAAAATGAAGTGTAAAACTAAAATAGTTTATTTCATATCAAACCATTGCAGAATGGATTTTAAAGGAACAATCAATTCATTGATATCTGAATGTGTAATAAATAATATATCATCACGCTCGTAAAATTGTGAAGAGAAATGAAACCAGAATATATGCTTGGAGACAGAAGCGAAGCAGACGAGTGATTAAGGATTGTGGCTTATTATGGCAGGAGCTGGTGTTGCTTTGGCCACAACAGCTAGTGATCATGCTCCTCATGGTGATGGTGGTGGTTGTCGAGGAGGAGGTTGTGGCGGCTGAGGAGGTGGAGGTGGCTGTGAATAGTGGAGATTGAAATCTGAATATTAGTTAGGATATAGGTCAGCATTCAAAAAAGGAGTACATATTCCACTGAAGGAGAATTGTGGTAAAGCCAACGTGGCGTTTAGATAGTCTGTGTTCATTACTGAGAAGAATGTTGAATGGGGGTTGAGTTAACGTTTCACCGCACCTTCATTATTCAAAAGTAGATTCTACTGTCAATTGTTGAGCTCAGGGAAAACTATGCAATGGAAATGAAAAGAAAATTGCAGAGGCATTTAATAGAAAATGGTGCAGAGTTCCAAACTGCGAAGCCAAATGAAAATTTTAACTAGATACTTCCACAGTTCCATTAAAGTTTTTCAAAAGCTGAAGACTAAATAGCGCAAGAACTACTACTACTACCAAAAAAAAAACATATCAGCGCTACAAATAACAAGTTCGACGCCAAGTAAATACAACGAAACATCAGGCACTTCAGGCATAGGACGCTACTGCCCTACAAATCAGCAACAAACATCAACATGTTAGATAACAAGAACTGGGAGTGTCTGCACATCAGGCATCAGGCACTTCAGGCAAACGACGTTACAGCACTACAAATCTGCAGCAACAGAAAACAAGAAAAGTGCTACGCTAATCATTTGTTAAGCATTATAGTTGACATCAGTTGTCATGAAAACTTTTCCCGGTACTTCTTCAGGAGTGCAAATGAAAATTCCTCTCCCTAAATGAAAGCTAAATTGGAAACGAAACTATTATACAAATGAAAACCATTGGAAAAGGGATTACAGCCTGAACTATAGCACAATCTCTTACAGCAGAAAACAATAAATTGAATACACAAACTTCACTACAGTAGCAGTAATCAGTCCACCCTCAAAAGTCATACCAACTTGATATTATATGAGTCAAAAACTAAAAGCACTCATAAAAGACCAGTCTAATGGTGTTTACATGAAAGCTGAGTTGATATTATTATAATTATATAGTTTTTAACTTTTTGATATCCAAATTGAGTTTCCATGAGAGCTGAGTTGACTTTAGTCACAAGTTGTGTTCTAGCAACAGAAGCGAGAAAGACAATCAGCTAAAGGAAAAAAAAACCCACACAAGTCGACATAATAAAGATCCCACACAGCAATTTAGTCACCAATCATGCTTTTAATGAACATAAAAACCTGGCAAACAAAGAATTGAAATGTTCTGCTCTCAGCACTATAATACATTACCTGTTCTTTCTCTTAGTAAGACTCTGCATCACTCTTGTCGAGTAAGAGGAGGCTCTCTTTATAAAAATCAACAGTACAATATTTATATCCAGAAATCCCAAGATTTCTGAACTGTTTGCTCACAAGGTCTAGTGAAACTAGTTCCCGCCTCCCTTCTTTTGTTAGCAGTAACAGTACTTCCCCGCTCTTGCTAAAACATAAGGCCCTGGGTAAAAGTCTTTCTGGACCTTGTGGACCGAGAGTAATCAATTTGGTCTATGATTCCTTTCTGCCATACTCTTTCATCACCCATATATCAAGAACAGAATCTTCGCACCTATTATCCATCATGAAATCTTTACAACTGTTATCCCTCATAAACAGAGCAACAGATTTTCTGTTTTCGGAAACAGACAATTGCAATCCCCACTTGGGATTCCAACGGATAATCTTCGGCATAGGTATCTTACCGAACACCTCCTTGCCCAGGTCAAACGTCAAAATAAAATAGCAACCATCGCCGTCTGAGACTACAGGCCAATGAAGAATCCCATTAACAAAAGCATTGGATGCAGCTCCATCTGTTCCACATGCAGGAGAAACACAACCAAGACTCCTCCATGTGCCAGTGGCTAGGGAATAAACCTCAGCTACAGTTGGCCCCTCATCTTCACGTTGTAAAGTTACAATTCGCACAACCTTATAGTCATTGGTCATAGCATCAAAACCGAACCCAATAGAAGCATCATACCCACCATGCGTCCTAAATGTAACTCCAGGCCTGGGAAGGGTCACTAACTTTCTAATGGCTGGGTTCCATATAAAGAAGTTGTAACCATAACGGAGGATATCATCCGCAAGGCAGATTAGCCCACTACAAGTGCCGACCACACGAAAATGAGAATTGCACAGTTCTTGCTTTGGAGCAATTGGAAATTCGATCTTGGAGTACACATCAAAAGCCTGGTTATCATAATGCACACAGTGAACCTCATCTTTTATCTCGGAAACGATCGTTTTGTGGCCGAAGGTGCTGCTACTGTCACAAGAAATTATGTGGAGTAGGAGGAGGTCAATGTCATCCTGGTTAGCAAAATCGACTGTTAGGGTTAAGTGGGCGCGGATAAAGCTTTTGTTCATGATCATGGACCTCCATACCTTGCACACTGAGGTGCAATTGATCAGAGATTTAACGGGTAGCCCATATAGGATATCTTGTATGATTTCCTGAGGAAAAGCTTCAAATTTGAATTCCTGCATCGCTTGTGTGATATCTTGTATGTTATCCATGTCTAGCACATTCACGTAGTTATATCAACTGAGAAAAGCAGTAGAGACAAAACTCAGCTATAACTGAGATAAATAAATAAAAATCCAGGGAGCTGTTCTTACAGCAGAGTACCAATAGGAAGGAGCAACAAGAACCCCAAACGTCATAATTTTCAAATCAAACCCAATCTCTACTCTATCAATCAAAACTCCAAACCCATCAGAGTAAAAAAAAAGTAACACTAAAGCCAAACCCTCATTTTATTTAAAAAAAAATACCCGACCCTCCCAGGCACCGCCTAGGCGCCGATTTTTTGAAATTGACAGAAAAAGGAAAGAGAAACTTTAGGAACTTACAATTTTTGGTCCTGACGAGCAGAGCCGAAGAAATGGAGCTGACGTTAGAGAAGAAGAGTGAAGAAGAAAGGAGTAGAACCTTTTCTAGCCTCTAGGACATTCATTTCCGTACATGATAGTGTGGAAGAAGAAACGCGTCGGCTGAAACCCTAATGCATCTCTCTTCTCTATTTATATCTCCGTCCCTGATTAAAAGCTTGAATAAGGTTTATCTCTGGTTGATCTGCTGGTTTATGAATTGGAAAAGCTTTCCCGGGAACAATTTATGGGGAAATTTCTTTTTATCGCCATAATGAAGTCTTATTTCTATTTTGACCCCTCAATTTTTCTGTAGCTCGTATATTTTGCCGAATAAAATGCGTCGGCTGAAACCCTCTTGCAGCTTCTGTTTGACGCTATGTTGAGAATTATTGGGCGTGGAGGTTCTTTTCAGGATTGCTTAATGAATTATTTAACTAACTACAATGCTCATATCACAGTTTCTCTAGTTTTGAGCAAAATCTTACTTGTTTGTTGACAGATTTGGGAGTCCATAAATCATTGTATCTTTCGACGTATATGCACTCATCCAACAAAAAGTTTGACAGTTGTTGCTCGCACTTGTGTTGAGTTCTTCTGTATCAACTACTATTCGGGGAGATCTCGTGGCCAAACTACTCCAATCATATGGCTTCCGCCCAAGCCCCCATTCCTCAAGATGAACTTTGATGGCTCTGTTAAAGCTTCTTATTCGTCTGATTCAGTTTTTGTTATTAGAGATGCAGGAGAAACACAACCAAGATTGCTGCATGTGCCCGTGGCTAGGGAATAAACCTCAGCTAGAGTTGGCTGCTCATCTTCCTCCAATAAAGTCACAAGTCGCACAACCTCGTAGTCATTGGTCATAGCATCAAAACTAGACCCAAGAGAAGCATTGTTCCTACCATGCGACCGAAAGGTAATACCAGGCCTGGGAAGGGTCACCAACTTTCTAATGGTTGGGTTCCGTATAAAGAAGTTGTAAGCATAAGAGGGGATATCATCCGCAAGACAAATTATCCCATCACAAGTGCCAACCACAAGAAGATGTGAATTCCCAAAGTTTTTCTTTGCGGCAATTGGAAATTCGATCTTGGCACATCAAACGCCTGGTTATCATGATGCAGAGAGTGAACCTCGTCTTTTACCTTGTGAATAACCTTGTTTTGGTAGTAGGTGAGGCTACAGCTACCAGAAATTTTGTGGAGTAGGAGGAGGTGAATGTCATTCTGGTTAGCAAAGTCCACTGTTGGGCTGAGGTGGGGTGAATAAAGCTTTGGTTTATGATCATGGACCTCCATGTCTTGCAGACATTTGATCAGAGATTTAACGGGTAGCCTAATTAGGATCTCTTGTACGATTTCCTGAGGAAAAGAGCATGCGATCGATTCAATTTTCAATTTGATCCCTTGTCTGACATTTTTTTATGTTATCAATGTCTAGCACATTCAAATAGTTATACCAACAGAGAAAAGCAATGGAGACAAAACTCAGCTATAATTGAGAAAACAAAATATCAAGAGAGCTGTTCTTACAGCAGAGTAACATTCATATACAATTTTTAGTTGGAAAACTAAAAGTACTAAAATCCAATCCAAATCCATCAGAAAGGAAAAAAAAATGTTACAAATTGCCTTTCAATGTACCAAATAGCCAGCTTATTCTTCCTCTAGTATATCATCACGCTGGTAAAACTCTTAAGAGAAATGAAACCAGATTATATGCTTGGACGTTGTTCATAGTGTGCATCTAGTAGTGTCACTACTCCGTCATAGTGGTTGTCGAGGCGGCTGCAGAGGTGGATGTGGAGGTGAATAGGGATTTTCATACTTAATCGGCTTGTTTTATTGTAGTTATGGGTCTAATTACTCCGTCATATAATTAGTACTTAGTTTTGAAATTCAAATAAACCTTCGATATAGGTTAGCATTTGGTATATTATTACATGCTTGATGTTGCCTTGTTTTGACTATAGTTTCAAGCATATGGTATTCAGTCGATTTCCACTCCTAATTAAATCCCTATAGGAAAATCATTCAATAAAAAACTGTAAAAGAGATTTCAACTCCTAATTAAAATGTTCCTACAGCAGATGCTGAAACAGCTCTAGCCTCTGAAACAAGGTGCTTTGTCCGAGCTTTTGGGAATTTTAATGAAATTTAAAAGAGATATTTAGTCATATACCCATTCTTATTAAATTACTTTTATCGAGTCTAGAGCTGAATGAGGGTTGAGTTTAATGTTGCAAAAATGGTCTTCAAACGAATGCAATTGCAAAAATAGACAACCATCATATGTTGCAGGCGTGCAGTTAACTAAAACAGGGTACAATTTCAAATCACCTTCATTACTTAATTAAAAGTGAATTTTGCTGTAAATTGTTCAGCTCAGGGAAAACTATGCAATAAAAATGGAAAAGAAAATTGCAAAAGCATTTCATGGAAACTGGTGCAGAGAACTGCAAAGGCAAATGCAATTTGTAACTAGATACTTCCATTAAAGCTTCCCAAAAGCTGAAGAATAAATAGTGCAAGAACTACTAGATAACAAGTTCCATGCCAAGTAAATACACAGAAACATCAGGCACTTCAGGCACAGGACGCTACTGCCCTACAAATCGGCAAAAAAATGAACAAGAAAACGAAAATACATCAGCAAGATAGATAACAAGAAACGGACATTGACGCACATCAGGCATCAGGCAAGTCAGGCACTTTCGGCAAACAATGTTACTGCACTACAAATCTGCAACAAAAGAAAACAAGAGAAGTGCTGAGTTAATCAATTGTTAAGCATTAGAGTTGACATCACTTGTCATGAAAACTTTTCCCAGTACTTCTTCAGGAGTGCAAATCAAACTTCCTCTTCATGCTTGCACAAATGAAAGCTAAATTGGAAAAGAAACTAATGTACATATGAAAACATTGGAAAATGGATTAAAGCAGCAAACAAAACCATGCAAATTGAATACACAGACTTCACTACAGTAGCAGCAATCAGTCCAATGTCTAAAGTCGTACCAAGTTGACTAAGACTAAGAGTACATAAAAGACTAGTCTAATCGTGTTTACATGAGAGCTGAGTCGATATTATTATAAATTATAATTACACTGTTTTTAACTTTTTGATATCCAAATTGAGTCTCCATGAGAGCTGTGTTGACTTTATTCACAAGTTGTGCTCTAGCAACAGAAGCGAGAAAGACAATCAGCTAAAAGAAAGAACCCACAACAAGTCTGACATAAGAAATATCCCACAGAAATTTAGTCACCAATCATGCTTTTAATGAACATAAAAACCTGGCAAACAAAGAATTGAAATGTTCTGCTCTCAGCACAATAATCACATTACCTGTTCTTTCTCTTAGTAAGACTCTGCATCGCTCTTGTCGAGTAAGAGGAGGCTCTCTTTATAAAAATGACCAGTACAATATTTATATCCAGAAATCCCAAGAAGTTTAAACTGTTTGCTCACAATGTCTAGTGATACTAGTTCCTGCCTCTCTTTTTCTTTTCGCAGTAACAGTAATTCCCCACTCTTCCTAAAACATAAGGCGCTGAGGAAAATTGTTTCTGGACCTTGTGGATTGAGAGTAATCAATTTGGTCCATGATTCCTCTCTGCCATACTCTTTCATCACCCATATATCAAGAACAGAATCTTCACGCCCATAATCCATATAGAAATCTTCACGATTGTTGGGCCTCATGAATAAAGCAATAGATTTTTTGTTATCTGAAACAGACAATTGCAATCCCAAATTGACATCCCATTGAATAATCTTCGGCATAGGTATCTGACTGAACACCTCCTTGCCCAGATCAAATGTCAATATAATATAATAGTAAGAATCAACATCTGTTTGACAGACTACAGGCCAATGAAGAACCCCATTAACAAAAGCACTGGATGCAGCTTTATCTATTATACATGCAGGAGAAACACAACCAAGACTCATCCATGTGCCGGTGGCTAGGGAATAAACCTCAGCTAGAGTTGGCGTCTCATCATCGTCATCCAATAAAGTCACAACTCGCACAACCTTATAGTCATTGGTTGTAGCATCAAAACCGAACCCAATAGAAGCATCGTACCCACCATGCGTCTGATAGGTAATACCTGGCTTGGGAAGGGTCACTGACTTTTTAATGGCTGGGTTCCATATAATGAAGTTGTAAGCATAAGAGGGGACATCATCCGCAAGGCAAATTAGCCCATCACAAGTGCCAACCACACGAAGATGTGAATTGCCATAGTTTTTCTTTGCGGCAATTGGAAATTCGATCTTGGAGTACACATCAAACGCCCGGTTATCATGATGCACAGAGTGAACCTCGTCTTTTACCTTGTGAATGACCGTGTTTTGGTAGTAGTTGAGGCTATTGCTACCAGAAATTCTGTGGAGTAGGAGGAGGTCAATGTCATTCTGGTTAGCAAAGTCCACAGTTGGGTTGAGGCGTGCGTGAATAAAGCTTTGGTTTATGATCATGGACCTCCATGCCTTGCAGACTGAAGTGCATTTGATCAGAGATTTAACGGATAGCCTAATTAGGATCTCTTGTATGATTTCCTCAGGAAAAGAGAGTGCCATCGCTTCAAATTTCAATTCGTGTATCGCCTGTGTGATATCTTGTATGTTATCCATGTCTTGCAAATTCAAATAGTTATACCACCTGAGAAAAGCAATAGATACAAAACCCAGCAATAATTGAGAAAAAAGAAAACATGGGAGCTGCTCTAAAAGCAGAGTACTAAAAAAAACAGAGCAAAAAGAACCCTAAACCCTAAACGTCATATTATTCATATCAAACCCAAAAAAAAATCAAAACCCATCAGGGGAAAAAATACTGAAGCCAAACCCATAATTTTTAGCTGACAAAAAAGCTCTAAAAAAATTCCCAGAAGAAGGAAAGAGAAAGTTTAGGAACTTACAAATTTTGGTCCTGATAAGCAGAGCCGAAGTAATGTAGCTGAAGAAGAAAAGCTTCTAGGAATTTCCTTTCCGTACCCTACCGATCGGAAAAGCTTCTCTATTTATATGCTCTGTTACTGCAAAAGCTTTCCTGTTTTTTTTTGTCAAGCTGCAAAAGCTTTCCTATTTGTTTTTGAAGAAATCAAACGTTACAAGTTTCCTAGAATAACTTGTTTGGAATATATATCTGTAAAATGAAGTGCAAATAAAAATAAAGTATTTCACATTAAACCATTGCAAGAGGGAAAACAACATTCCCAATTTTTCAAAGGCTTAGTTATGTGCATGCCCCATGTGCTTTCAAACTTATCTCAAATTATCACATGTGTTTGCAAACGGCTCAAATTCCAGAACAGCAGGCCCTCCCCTTTGTTACTGTTCATCAGACCAGTTTTTGGGTTGCCATCTCCTTCTCCGGCCACCCCAAGCGACGACATGGGTATCAAAAGAACCAGCACGTTGTCCTCTACCAGCCTCACATCTCAACCGCTGCCAACCGCCGTTTGGATCGCCGGAAAAAGCAAGAAATTGGCCGATTTTTACCCAAAATCTCCATCGCTAGTTTCTGGCGATTCCGAGCACCATTTGCTTCAATCCAAGTATGGTTTTGGTTAGGAGAAATTTTTTAGTTTTGGAGGGTAAATAAGCGATGAACAATAACAAAGGGGAGAGGCTGCCCTTCTGGGGGGAAGAAGGAGAAAAAAAGAAGGCAAAAGGAAGTGGGGCCCAATATTCGTAACGGAACGTCAAAAAAACTGACGGAAGGAGTAACGTGAGATGATTTTTAAAATGTTTGGGGGTACTTTGAGCCGTTTGCAAACACATGTGGTAATATGAGATAAGTTTGAAAGCACAGGGGGTATGCACATAATTAAGCCTTTTTTTAAAAGGAAGAATAAGGAAGAATCAACTCTTTGGTGTATGAATGTGTAGTTTAAGGCTTTTTGGTGCATTAAGGTTAAATATGTTACAAATAGGGCTAGTCCTGAGATTTTGAGAGCCTTATGTAAAATTCAAACTAGAGCTCTCATATAATCTAATATGAAAAAAAAATTCTATGGCTTAATGACATAAATCAATATTTTTATAATTAAAATTCATCATCAATTAACATATAATAACAATTACAAATCAAATTCATAAATTTTTTAATGTTTTCATTTGATAAAGTTAAATATTAGTATGTTCGGTTTAAAAAAGAAAAAGAAAAAGAGTTTAAGAGAAAGAAGAAGACATGAATATATATATATATATTTTTTTTGTTTTGAGTGGAAGGAAGCTTTTAGACTCAAACCTAAGCCTTGTACCAAGGGATATGCGCTAGAAACCAGCTTCATCAAATACACTTTTGTGTCAACGTGCTGCACGTTGTAGTATATATACAGTTTTTACTAATACATTCGTGTTCTATACACGTCTCACGTTTTAAAAAAAGAGAACATACAATAGTCGTATTGTATATGTATGTACGTATTTCTAATGTTTTATACATGTATTTTTTACAAAATTTTCTATAAGGTACACAAAATTCATGTATTATACAAATAATTCTCACATATTATTAAATAAGAATAACAAACATATGTTATAAAAATTATATTAAAATATCATATAGTGGAAGATTAATATATACTTTGAATATGTTGAAACTAGCAAATTAATATTTATAGGGTACAAACTAATGCAACTAGGAGGGTATAGCCGGGCGGCTATACCTTTTAAATATAATGTATTTAAATAGTATAGGACCGCTATACTGATTATTGACACGTGGCGCCTAATCAATAGAGGGTCTTCTTTTAAAAAAAACTAGTACAGCCGCGCGGCTATACGCCGTGTGGTTTGGAGTATTTACTCCCTCAAACAAGGTCCTGGGTTAGAATCCTAGCATCCGTGTGATGTGTGTGAGTTTAGTATGCTATCGTTTCTCTCAATAGGAAAGGTTTCAAAAAAAAATAAAAATTTAAAATAGACTTGTATTGATACGTGGTGCCTAATCGATTGGGGCTCCTCTGTTTTTATATTTTTTAAAAAGTAAAGCCGCACGGCTATACGCAGTTTTCCCTTTTTTTAAAAATTTAGCCGTACGGCTATACTATACCCCACCCCAAAAAAAATCTATCGGCCAACCCCTACCCAAATCATCATCATCACTCTCCAATCCTAAACCCCACCGTGCTGTATGACCACCTCTCTCTCTCTCCTCCTCCTTTGATCCTAGACCCAAAACCCCACCGCACTTCCATCACCCAAAAAAAACAAAATATATTTATGTTGTAAACAAATTTGGGATAAAAAAAATATTTGTCTTATTAATATTTCACAAGGGTTGGTTGGTTTTGAACTTTTGATAGAAGAAGAATATATATTTTCTTCTCAAGGGTGTTTGGATCAGATATATGAAAATACACATTCTCTCTCTCTCTCTCTGGTTTTGATAGAAGAAGAATATATATTTTTCTTCTCATGGGTGTTTGGATCGGATAGATGAAGTACACATTCTCTCTCTCTCTCTCTCTCTCTCTCTCTCTCTCTCTCTCTCTTTAGACCAAAAATTGTGCAAAAGTGTGTGCGTTCAAGGGTCCATGGCATATTGAGAGAGCGTCATGAGGACAACGTACGCCAGCTAGCAAAGCAAAATGAAGTTACTACCAGTTTGCTCAATGCTCACGCCATTTGACCCACTCTACTCTAAATCACTTAGATATTTGATCATAAAGTTGAGGCTTAAAGTGCCTCCCCAAAACTGAAGCAAAACTCGTTCATATATCACGTAATTGTTTGTTTCTCTCCACACCACCTTCCACCCTCCACAACTCAAACTTCAAAAACAAAACCATATGCATGTAAGAAAAGCATGAACTTTACCTGAAGAATCAAGACCCTCCTTAATTAACTAATTAATTCTACAACAAGAAATTAACTAAACTAAAACGCACAATAAACGCCTATATATATATATATATATATATATATATATATATAAGGCCCCCTCCTCCCTCTTCTTCTAAGCATTATAATTAATTAAAACGATGCTACTTGCCGAACTTCACTTTTTCTTTGTACTTGTACTATTGCTATACCTTCTTGTGATCATAGTTGAAGGCCTAGGACATTCAAATGCCACTTCTCCATGGCTAAACAAAGTAGCAACGAACTGGCCACGACCACCGCAGCCGGGAGGGTGCCGGCGCCAGCCTTGGATATGTCGTCAGCAAGGAAACCCTCCGACCAGGTGGCGGTGCTGTAAGGACCGTTGCGTCAACATCAGCTCCGATGTTAACAATTGTGGGCTGTGTCGAATTAGATGTCCATTTAGTTGGCAATGTTGTCGTGGTTTTTGCGTGAACACCAATATTAGCCCTTTTAATTGTGGGAGGTGTGGAAATAGGTGCCCCTTTGGTGTGCTTTGCTTGTATGGCCTGTGTGGCTATGCTCAACCGACCTTGCCTCCATGGCCTTGTCCTCCATGGCCTCCATTCCCCTTTCCTCCTAAGCGACCATGGCCTCCACGACCTCAGCCACCCCCAATTATGGAGTAGTAGAGTTGTTAACTTATGTCGTACGTAATTGTACTGTTATATATGGTTACCTCTTTCTTTCTAGAGTCTTATGTGCCATGATATATGGTTTGGTAGTCTTGTACGCCATGAAGTATGGTTCATATTTTCAGGTTCCATGCATGGAAAACCAAAAGAGAAAAGAAAAAGAAACAGAAAAGTGAATGAAGGGCTATGTCATGTTTTTGTAATGATGCTGCTATGTCATCCATGCAAGTTTATTTGCTTACGTAGCCCTTATTATTCATGTTATATTGATCATCAATTTTGTCTTTAATATATCCATCGATGTATTATTTTTAGACTAATTTTTTTAGGTCAAACTGGAATAACATTACCAGGACAAAAAGCCAAAGTTACAAAGCCAGAGTCCAAAGCTAAAGGACAACCGCAACTAGAAAAACAAAGAACATATACAAAGACTAGAGGAAACACGGGTAGAAGAAGACCCAACCAACCGGTGGTGGCGTAGTCAAATTCCTCACTAGTCCCAAACTAAAGATGGGGTGGACAAGGTAACCCCCTAACCAGATCAACTCGTAGTCGTCGCCACCGTCATTGCTGCCATCAAGAAACCAAAGGAGAGAGGAACCATGAAGAGGGATCTGCAGAGAATGGAACTAGGGAAGCAAGCCACCAATATGCGTCATACTCAAGTGATCCATAAATTGGTCAACAGAGACCATAAAGCTACAGAGCCCATAAATACAAATCTGAGACTCAGATCTGAGCATGGGATGTAGGGGGAGATTAGCAGCAATAACAAGCCAAGACACTAACAAGTCAATCATAGAGAAAGAGGAATTGGAGAACTTGAGGGAGACGTTATGGATAGATGGGGGCGTTTGGAGACAAAAAAAAGTCAGAGATGAGGGAGAGAAGAGGGATGGGAAGGAGTGAGATAGGAGATTCAGAAAAACGAGGAAATACAAACAACAAGAAAAGTAACGTAAACTCTCACAGAGAGAGAGAGAGAGAGAGAGAGAGAGAGAGAGAAATAGGAGATGGAGGAAGTGGGAAGGATGAGAGGAGAGGGGAGGAGGAACAAAGGCCTCCTCCCCTAGTGCGATGCTGAAAGTGTTTCCAAGGAAGGGAGGGGGGCTAGGGTTCGAGAGCAGAGAGAATTAATTATTTTTAGACTAATTAATCACCTTGTTTGTGTGGATAATGAATGCTTAATTTGGAGAAATTATAGAGTAGTATTGTAGAGGAAATGTAGTCTTTGCTAATTGCAAGTCAAGTTCACCCGCTCTACCTGTTTAAAAGGTAGGTGTGTATCTATGATTGGCATGGTTACCAAGTACCAACTTCATAAGTATTTTGTTATATTTTCTTTTTAATACCACATCTGAATTATGCCTTTTTTTTTAATACAAGTGATAATTTAAACTACTATAAATTAATTTAATTTACGGATTGGTAACTTGAATTTTAGTGTAAGGGGCTTCACTATCCTAATCAACTGGTCTAACTACATCTGCATTCTTTTCTTCTTACTTTAAATACATTTGAATTCTTTTCTCTGAAAAAAAACATTTGAATTTTTGAAATTTATCACATTGACTGAAATTTAGGAAGATTCATTATTGGCTAAAATTTAGGGAGCTGCACCCAGAAAATTGGGCTCCAATCGGAAACGAAAGTTCCAATAACCCACATTTTCTAACAAGTTTTGGGCTGGGATAAAAGTGACTCTTTTGACAAGTCTTTTATTTTCTCCTCTTCTTTCTCAGACTTTGTTTTTCTTAAAAACTGACCATGTGCAAGTCACGTGACAGAATTTTAGATGGACATCTTCAAAATTGACGGCGAGTCCCAACTTGAACATTTTCATATAGTTTGAGTCCTTAATTTACCAAAACAAAAGGTCATGGGTGTAAATTGACAATTATGGTTTAGTTAGAGGCAAAACCGCATTTAAGCATTTTATTTTTGACAATATAAAAACATGGATATTGCTGAATACCCCATGAACTATATTGACTGTTGAAATGTGAATTATTTTTTAGCAAATTTAGCTATTGAATTATTTTAAATGGTCAATTTAGTTCCTGCCGTTAGTTTTCATACAATTTTCTATCTAAATGTCACATGTTAGGTACGTGACTCACTGTTTAATTAAAATTTAATTTTTTTAAATTTAAAATAATTAAATTGTTAAAACTACAAAACTGAAAGAAAGGAAAAAAAAAAAAAAAAAAAAAAAAAAGGAAGGCAGAGCTTGACCGACCATTGGGGCTTTTAGCGCTAAGAATATGACGATTACGAATGGATAGGGCTAGAGGGTGCTTGGCGAAGAGGACTTTTCCCAGGATTTGTATATGGGAATCTGATGGGGAAGCTGGGGATATTACTTGTGATATTATCGATAATGTGGAGGCTTCAATGTTCTATAGAAACAGCACAAGTTTCTAGCGAGCCCAAGAAGCCTGGCCATACCATATCAAAAGGGCATAAGAACTGCGATTTGACGCTCAATCTTCAATTGGGTATTAGGTACTTTTTCTTATTTTTCGATTTTACAAGTCGTGGAGTGATTTTTTGCTTATGGGTTTTCTTTATCAATGGAGGCTGGTGTTTGATGTTGTGGTGTTTTTGGTTTTTAGGTAGTGTATTGAGAAGCATGCTTCGATACTAAGGGATCTTAAGCCCAGTAATTTCAATCCCAAAGAGAAGTTCTGGACCAGGTTTCCACATGAAGGATAGAACAAAATGCAGCCCCATTAGAGGTTAATGTAATTAAAATAAGCCCCACTAAACAAGCCACGGTTGTTTGCTTCTTCTTCTTTGATTGCAAGTGTTGTTACTAAAAGAATCTGTCACTTCTCACAGCTTCCACAAAGGCTTCATGAAGTTATTGGGTCCAACGCATTCTGGGTTTGGTTGGAGGTGCAGCGGACAATGATTCGGGGCTAGGACGAAATTCTTCAGATTGAATTGGCTGATGCTGTTGAATCTGGGGCGGGTGCACAAGGATATCAGAATATGGGTTCCACTTGAATCGGATTCTTGAAAGAAAGTGAGAGGGAGAGAAGAATAAGAAGGAAAAATGAGAGAGAGAGAGAGAGAGAGAGAGAGAGAGAGAGAGAGAGAGAGATGGAGGAAGAAGGAAAAGGAAAAGGAAAAAGAATAAATAAATAAAAAGCGAAGGAGAGAAGAAATCAAGATTTTACATTTTCTTTATTATTTTTTAGTATTGTTCATGTAAAATGACAAACTTACCCTTATAATTAACAAAAAATTGGATGGAAGTCTAAAAACTTGACGGCAGTTTACCCTAAAATCATAAAAGCATCCACCTTTCTCTATGCTGGGAGTGAGAGGATAGTCCCGCCCTGGACGACGGACTCAGTTGTGCTGTTTTTCAGTCAAGCTCTTATAAAATCCCCATCTTTCTTCTTTTCCATCAAAGCACAAACTCTCTCTCTCTCTCTCTCTTCTTCAAATCAGGTACATCATCTGATTTATTGTGCGCATGTGAAGGCTTCAACTTTTTTATGGAAAGCAAGTTTTTTTGTTTTAAATCTTTGCTAGTTGTTTGTTTGTGTTTATGCTGCTGCCCTTTTGGCGTTCTTCCATTGATTTTGAAAGCATAATGTTGATTCTGGCAAACCATTTGTCTGCTCTGTGCTAGCTGCATGGTTACACAGAACGCTAGTTTATATTGGTTTTTTTTGCGAATTTGTTGTATTGGTAGGTGGTCTGAGATAAGATAGGCAATATGCTCTCTGTTTTTTTTTAGGATAATGAAATACTGAATGTGGTTTATGATCTGTGTTGACCTTGTTTTTGTAGAAGATTTGAGGATATCCAAGATTTAAAGATCCTTGTGGCTGCTGTTTTTACAGTTTAAATGTTTTTTTTAATGTCTCTTGCTTAATGTCAAATGCTGATGTTAGGTTGATTCTTTGAAGCAATTCTCTACGGCCTAACCTTGTAATCCGTATGCATTTTCTGGGTTCGGTTTCTGATAGAACTATGTGTGAAACTGAAATCTCACTTGCGAATTCGACGGGAATTCTGAAATAAAAACTTGAGCTTGTTTATTATCTTTGCCTTTATCCTGTAACTCGCCACAAGCAGAACATACCAGCTTAATGGACAAAGAAGATCTTTATGGGTTTGGGTTGTTTTTCCTATTCAAATTTCTTTTCATGTAAATAATTGGATTTCTTTTTTTCTTTTCTGCTCATTAGATTGTCTGCTCATTCTTAATTTCGATTTTATTTCATATTATTTTATCATGCAATTAATTTTCCAGTTTTTATCCTGTTCATCTTGATATATATACAGAGGCTTGAAATTGCTGAGATGGCAGCTTCATCATCACTATTTTCAACTTCATTCCAAGGGGTCATGTCGTTTCAAAATACAAATTTGTGCTACAAAGAGTTCAATTGCAAATATTCAAACTTTATCCATAAACAATCCGGTCACTCCAACTCAAAGTACCTGACACATTCACGGTTGTTTCCCAATGAGAGATCATCAGAATTTGGACAAAATGATAAATTCTCACAAAAGAATGGGTTTTTGTGCCGGTCATTGAAGATTGAAAATTTACCTTCCTTTTCAGTGGGGAACAAATTTCAACTTACTGATGTGATTGAAGCTCAACAATTTGATAGAGATCTTCTCAGTGCTATATTTGAGGTTGCACGAGATATGGAGAAGATTGAAAAGAATTCACCAGGAAGCCAAATTCTTAAGGGTTATCTTATGGCTACTCTCTTCTATGAACCCTCCACAAGAACTAGGCTTTCCTTTGAATCTGCAATGAGACGGTTAGGCGGGGAAGTCTTAACAACTGAAAATGCAAGGGAGTTCTCGTCAGCAGCTAAAGGAGAAACACTTGAAGGTAGGCTCTTTCATTTATTTATTTATCTATCAGGTTTCTAGAGATGGTTCTGCTACAATTTGGTTGTAATATAATATGGGCGCTTGATTTCCAGATACTATAAGAACTGTTGAGGGTTACTCTGATATTATTGTGATGCGGCACTTTGAGAGTGGTGCAGCCAAAAGGGCGGCAGCAACTGCTGGCATTCCTGTAATCAATGCAGGAGATGGTCCTGGACAACATCCAACTCAGGTATGGAGAAATTTTAATGCATCACAAATTAACTGAGGAAGACTGAACTTTAATGTTGCATTTCATGTAGAAATCCCTTTTTAAAGCCATGAACTAGATGAGAATTGAAAAGAGAGATCAAGTTTTTTACAAAAATAAAAACAAAGAACCAAAAATTACAACCCTTCATTTATAATTGTGTAGTTCTAGATGTTTGTTACATGAGCATTATCTCATACAAGAGAACTTGCAGCATTGTTTTCATTTTCCTTTTTTGGTTACAATGGAAGGGATGGAACATCCCCACCGACCCTCACCACTTGGGATAATCTATAGGGGAATAGGTAGTTTAATTTATCGAAATTGTGTTAGAAGGTGGAATATCCTAATAAAATAAAGATTTGCAGTGTATAAGAGGGACAATTTTGGTATAAGAAAATGTGTTGATACGAAAGGAATCCCCATTCTAGGATATGGTAAGTAGTAGTGATTACCATGTCAATTACAGATGTGGTTAGTAGCATTATGATCTCATCGCATCACATCACATCTCATATCTAAGGCATGCTGCTCGCATGGGTCTTGTTATTTTCAGTATTTTTATTTGGTTGTAATAAATTCTTTAACCTATTGAATTAAAGCTTTGCTTGCGTCCACAGGCTCTTTTAGATGTCTATACCATTGAAAGAGAGATAGGAAAATTGGATGGCATTAGAGTTGCACTTGTTGGAGATCTTGCTAATGGAAGGACAGTGCGCTCACTTGCATACTTGCTCGCCAGGTATGAGGATGTGAAGATTTACTTTGTCTCTCCTGATGTGGTGAAAATGAAGGTAAATTTCAAACCAGGTTATACATTATTTTGCCTCTTTTCCTTGCGTTCTTTATAGAACTAGTTGGGAAAATGCTTCGAGCACATTTTTCGGTTTTGCTGATTTCATGTAATTATGGTAATTGTGGAAGTGTGTCGAGGCATCTAGGAGATTGGAGTCTCATCTTTCATATATTTCCTTTTCCAGGATGATATAAAAGATTATTTGACGTCAAGGAAAATTGAATGGGAAGAAAGTGCTGACTTAATGGAAGTTGCTTCTAAGTGTGATGTTGTCTATCAAACTCGCATTCAACGTGAACGATTTGGAGAGAGAATTGACCTCTATGAAGAAGCTCGAGGCAAGTACATTGTGGATAGTCATGTGTTAGAGGTGATGCAGAAGCATGCTGTGGTCATGCATCCTCTGCCTAGACTTGACGAGGTAAGCATGTGATTATGAAATGATTTTGCCCCCCTTAACAGATCTCATGTTTATTGATTCAATTGTTTGGTTTCTCTCTCTGAATGTAATGCAGATTACTGTTGAAGTTGATGGGGACCCGAGAGCTGCCTATTTCAGACAAGCAAAGAATGGCCTCTATATTAGGATGGCTCTCTTGAAACTCCTACTTGTAGGATGGTGAGGGATGCCATTAGCTTTTTAGTCTTCAAGTTTTGATTCAACTAAATAGGAAAAATATCTTCAAGTTTTGCCCCTTACTTTTCTTCCTTGGTTATTTCGAACAAGAGTTCGAAGACAAGCGGCTTACCAACGAAGTTTGGTTTCTTTTGATTAACTTTTCGAAAGTTCATTTTAAGCTTCCGTTAGGTCATGATTGTAAACACAAAAATTTAAACAGATTCCATCAAAGGCAATGGAATTATTGATTACCAGAATGTAAAGCATGCATGTTTGTAGAGAACGAGAGCAGCACAAACCGTCAATGGATGATAAAACGGTCTTTCTTAAAAGGAATAACATCTTCAATAGAATTACCTCTTTTGTGTATGCATACGTGAAAATGCAATCCTAATACTCATAATAAATAGATTGTAACTTACAACGTATACAGTTCACTCAGACGGAAAGGTATACAGTTCACACTCAGACAGAAAGGTATACAGTTCACACCAGTGCCAAAACTAACTATGCTAATATGTAGGGACGTTTGGATCCACATCATGGGCCCAACCTTCCAGTCCCCCAATGATGTCTCTGGCCGACGTGAAACCCATCTTGTGGAGAAACTGAACAGCCCTCTGAGAATCATTACCCCTTCTGCATATTACATATAATCGCCCACCCGAACCAGAGTCAGTACCTTGATGCTCTTCTTTTTCCTTTAGGGCTGAAGAGATTTCAGGCAACCGAGACTCCAAACTCGGGAGCGGGATATTTAAGGAATTGGGCAGAGAAACAATTTTGAAGTGATGTTCCGGACGAACATCAATCAACACATGTGCTTCCCCGCTAACAAGTTTCTCCTTGTACTCTTTACTATTTATTCTGGAGGCTGCCTGAAGTAGCTTTAACTTCAAAGGTAACTGCATTGATTGGAAAGCCAGATTGTTACCAGGAAAGCAAATACTCATCCTATTTACTTGTTGAAAAAAAAAGTGTCCTATTATACATGTAACAATCAGATACTATGAAATCCTATTAAAGCAAAAATTATGAGACAGAAGATATATACCGGAGTCAGTGGAGACTGAGTGAACTTCTCATAATCAAATTCCTGAAACTGCTGCTTAGAGAATGGTGCATTTTCACCACAAGCTACGCATTGCAATGACCTTCCCCGAATCTTAACCTGCAATGAAAGAACAAATTTTTTAAAATGCACACCCACATAACAATGCTGAATCTAATAAACGTGAAATGTTGCTCTAACATTAATTATTCATCCTCAGTTCTGAAAGAAATAAGAGGTCCAGGGTAGTGGGATGATGTCCTTATTTTGAGGGAGATTCAACTTGTAAGGGAATAAGCAATCGAATCTCTAAAGAATGGAGCGGTGTTTAGGGCAAGGGGAGGATCCCTGGTTGTGTAGGTGGGCCACTGGACCAAAAGCCTAAATAAAGAACATACTGAGGCCACTTAGAGGAGGAAGAAAGTGAACTTCATATGTCTGTGCAAAGCCGCTCTGGTTTCAATAATTCTTATTCTAAGAATTCATAATATCAAAGCAAACTTCAGTCTAAGAATCACAGCTGGAAGTAATGTCAGCTACTGGATTTCAAAGGTATCAAGATGAAGCATACAATTCGTATCCGTCCTGACAATGCATCAAATAAAAGCATCCTTTCTGAGAGTGCTTCACCAATTTCACTTGCAATCTTAATAGCTTCTAGGGCTTGGAGACAGCCGATAACACCGGGAACTGAAAATAATTAAGTAGAAGTAAGAAACATGGAGTGGTTTCCCACGCAAGGAATTAAAACTAAGGGACATATTCTAAAATCAAACAAGAAATAAATGGTGAAACTTCTAATTACATAATTTTCCTCTTAAACTACTATGCAAGTCATCAAGCTATTATGTCTCTGTAAAATTTTTCATTTTGGGCTGCAGCAGACTCGGAATATTAATAGGTAGTTTTGCAGCAGTTATATTCCATAACCTTTGAATGAAAACAAGCATTGACTTACCTACACCTAGGACGCCACTGTCAGAACATCTTTGACATGCTGTTGCAGGCGGTGGAGTTGGAAATAGGCAACGATAGCATGGGCCGCCATTGTAATTGAAAACTGTGAGCTACACAAATATATTTGGAGTAAATACTTGGAATCTTTAACATGATAAAATGCTGAAAAGGACAATTTCTACCACGTCATATATGGAAAATCATATGATTCAAGATCTAAGGACCCAAAAAGTTTCTACACAATGTACCTGCCCTTCCAATCCCACAGCAGCACCAGATACAAGAGGCTGCGAGAATGCACATAGGACCAATTAGTACTTAAGTGGAGAAAATCAGTAAAATGGAAGGAAAATATTTTGTTTCAAGTAATAACAACACAATAACAGTATTCATTAAAAAAAACAATGCTTATATATGCAAATACATTTATACAAAGCTATGATATGGTAACAATCATAAATACCCAAGGCACCCTTGAGCAACATATATTGAAGTCACGAACTCAAGAAACGTTTTCTTTCATGTTAAGCAATACAAGAACAGCCTATAAATTTATACAAACATATATACTACATATATCAAAACTATGATATGGTAACATTTTAAATGCCCAAGGCAACCCTGAGAACCATATATTGAAGTCACAAACTCAAACACAATACAATACACTTATTATTATTTCACTTGAATGTAATGTGGATTTGTCATTATAGTCATAATGACTAAGAGCTATTACAGCTGCAACTCAGTCAATTCTATTTTTCCTTTCCTGTCTTTTTTCCCCTCATTAAACTTTTGTGGGAGCAAGGGGAACATAAATGTGAGTTCTTCCACTTCGGGGATCTTAAACATGCATCCTTCCCACGTGCAATGGATGTCATCTAAAGTAGAAAATGGATTAATTCATTTACCCAAACCAAATAGGTAAAGAAAAAGATAACACATAGAGCATTTGTAAGATCATCACGATGAGCCAATTTACCTTCCCTAACACCACACAGCAATCGCTAATCATGTAACGGCTAGGAGCATTGTCTGTTGCATCTACTATTATATCATATCTTAGAGATGTCAACAGTCAAGGATGACACAATGTTTCAACAATTTTGGACCCCAAAAAAAAATTTGAAACTATATCTCCAGATTATGATAAAGGGAAATATAATTAAATAATTGCAAAATTTCAAGGATACTTGCTCAAGATTTCCAAGGCATTGGATGTACGTAAAGGTTCTTGGTATTCCACAACCTGAATAGTGGAGTTAATCCTGGGAGACAAATCCACATATTAGAAAGAACCAAAATAAATACACTAAAACAGAAAATTCTCACAGATATCAAAGGTCAGTATATCATATGCAATACAACTCCAATAAATTCCTATTTTTAAACACAGAGAAATAATACGAAAGGAGAAACATACGAACGACAAGCATTAGCAGCAGATCTAACTTTTGGCTGACCAATAAAATCTTCAGTGTGGATAATCTAAAATTCAATAGGCAATAGAAAAAGTTAGTTAATCCAAAGTTAACATATATCCACATACTTTCACACACACAAGCACACCACAACAAAACACACTGTGATCTGTGCATTATAATAGTAATTTTAACTTAGTCTTACCAATCAGCATTGCTATGAAAACCATGAATTGTGTACATAGCAACAGCAAAGTCAAACAATATGAGAATAATAGTAGGAGCACATTTTCTAACTTGTACCTGCCTGTGCATATTATTGAGCTCAACCACATCATGATCAACAATCCCCAAGCGGCCTAAAGATGCAATCCCATACAAATATTGAGTTTCCAAAATCTCAGTTCCATGGTATCAAATTATTATAAATACCATATTCTTATAATAGGCATTATCAAAATCCCAGTTAGGTGGAAACATTACCAACACCACAAGCTGCAAGATATAGCAGAGCAGGCGAGCCCAACCCTCCGGCTCCGACCACCAAAACCGACGACTTTAACAACTTTGATTGCCCTAATCCAACAAAAACATTAAATTTCAATTATAAATGACATAAAACCTCAGCAATTACAGAAGAAACAAAACCAATTTATATTTCACATATATGTTATATGAATTACAAAGCTCAATAATAATTCTTGCATTCCAATGCCTCCAATTTTATTTACTGCACAAGAAAATAAGTTCTTTTTTTTAATTACTAAAAACAAAAAAGCAATCATTCATTAATTACTACTAGAAGTGAGCTATTGTCAACAATTCTTAAACTTTGTACTATACAAGCATACGTACATTATACATATAAATGCATACATAATACACATACAAACACAGACTTCTATATAATTATACCTTGGACTCCGAAGGCAGGGAGCAAGAGGTGGCGACTGTAGCGGTAAATCATCTGAGGCGACAAATCGTGACCGTAACCCGAATCAACGGACGGGATTACAGGAGGACAAGAGCCATTTGGAACGGTAGCGTTTGGATGCTGCAGGTTAATCTCTTGGAGCTGAGCTTCGAGGGCTGAGATTTGGCGCTCTATTTCGCTCTTACTGGACTTCAAGGTTTCGAGTTGGAGAAGAATCCTAGAAGCTTCTCCACCGTCGGAATCCATGGATTTGCAGAGAGTGAGCTGACCTGAGCTGCGCTTGATTTTTTTTTTTTTTTTTTTTTTTTTTTTTTTTTTTTTTTGGTCAATTGAGGTTTAGTTTAGAGAAACCTAACTGAAGAAACGATCGCAGCAGCGCGCGAGGATCTGGGGTTTTGTCGATGCTTCACTAACGAGGGGCATTTTTGTCATTTCATTGGGTCAAAACTTTAAAATTGACGTAGCCTTCATCTCTCGCTCTCTGTTCTTCATCACCAAACCGAAAACTTCTGCAACGAAACGCTGTCGTTCTTTACATGCAAACCGAAACGAAGGGTACGAAGCTTAATGCTTAAGGGGAACTAAGCCTGGTCCTTACGCAATTATGTAAATTCAACACAGAGAGCTAAATAGGTGAGTTTCTCTTCTAATTTCCAGCCCATATGAAGAAACAAAGGAATTTAATTTGGTTTCAAGTGAATTCGGATTGATAATTACAAGCGCATGGTTTGTTAAATTTACGTTAATTTGGTTTTATAAGTTTTGCATGTGAGTTTCTCCATTGCCAGATAAAAATCATGAATTATTCTGTTAAATAGACATCCTGCGTTTTAAAAGTAGTTGGAGCTTGCCAATTAGATGTTTGTGAAAATTCCTCTTAGAGTTAGAAACTAAGGATATCAGAAAGTCTGAAGAGAGGAGTGAGCTACACATGAAATCTGAATGTGGGGTATTTTTGTATGCATGTACATGTGTGTTAAACTTGACATGACACCTGAATATGCCTCGTTCTGATTTTTAAGATCAAACAAACAAGCACAATTTATCAAGAATCAAGTTTTGGATAACTGGACACCACCTTTGCTTTTCCAATCAAAAGACACCGCCTTCAATTTGAGGTATGAAAATTTCATGCCCGGAAACTTGTTTTCTGGTTTTACAAATTATCTCTTGATTAATTCTCTCCTTACAATTTTTTTGGTTATGGTACTGTAGTCATGTTGTGTTTTGCTTTGAAAGTTATGGTTAGCAAAATCAAAAATGAAATTTATGTTGGAATGTTTGATGACTGGGGGTTTCTTTTGAGTATTGAGTCAATCTACCCCTCATAGTCATTTTCTAACTATGGTGAATTGGAGTCTTCAATATTGTTTTGGAAATTGGAACTGCTTTTACTCAAAAACATTTTGAAATGCATTTTAGTGATTTTTTGAAGTTAAACCAGTGTGTGAAAAGGAAACTTGCATTTTCCAGCAGAACAATGAGTTTGTGACCTGGAAGTATTGGAGTTTTTTTTTCTTAAATTCTTGCTGTATTTTTATAGGTGAGAACAGTTGTTCTAAGCTTTAATTGGCATTAGGGTTTTATGAAAAAATACAGAAACGTTAGGATTTTACCTCAACATATTTGATCAAGTTGGAATCATGGGACGAATAAATGGTATATCATCTGTTACAAACCATATCACTGCAGGCACTGGGTGAAATTTTATATGCTTAGTTTTCTATCCACATGAGCTGCAGCAACTGCTCTCTTATCACTTCCTAAAGAATATTAAATGGGCCATTTCTGAATTGCTTAACTAGGCATCTATACTGGGAGAGTTGTTGCTCTGTGCAAGAAAAACCAGTCTTTGATTTCAGAGAGACCAAAGCAAATGGTTTCTTGACTACCTAATTGAAAATCTTAGGTTTCAAAGGTTGAATTATAACTTAAGTGGGATAGCCATCTCCAAGTTTACAAGTATACTTGTCTGTTTGGCATATTGGCAGTAGCTTGTTTGGGTGAGTTGTGTGTATGTGCGTCTTTATGTTTGTGAAAGTAATACAATAATTTTTGTTTTGTTTTGTTTTGTTTGAGGACCAGAAAAATGTTTGAGGAGCAGAATCAACAATAATACACAGAGGCACCTTAATCGCAGCCTCTGTTCCTTCAATTCATAGACACGAGTATTTGGTAGCTACTCTCTTCAGGTTTTGTTGGAACACAATGCCTCGATACAAAGATGAACCTACTGCAATTCGCGTTTACACAGTCTGCGACGAATCAAGGTCTCTTTATCGGTGCTTATTTCTGTTTTGTTTTCAACATTTTATGCTTTATTTATATTTATTTTGTGGCAGGTATTTGATTGTGAGGAATGTTCCAGCTTTGGGATGCAGCGCTGAGCTGTTAAAATTGTTTGCGTCCTACGGAGAAGTAGAAGAGTACTTTACTTTCCTTTGTTGTTCTAGATTTTATTTTTCAATAATCTAACTGCAAACTGTTATCCTAAAATCATTGTAACTATGGTTGTTTACCATATTCAGGTGTAAACCAATGGATGAAGAAGATTGTGAGCCATTCACTGATGTTTATTGGATAAAGTTTTGTCTGGTCAGCAATGCCAGGTGATTATATCATATGCTTAACTGGTTAATAAATAATAAAGCATAGAGCTAAGTACCAGACCATATTGGTATTGACATTTTAGGTTTGCAAAGAGGAAATTGGATGAGTATGTTTTCCTAGGGAATCAACTTAAGGTTTCATATGCTCCTGAATTTGAGAGCCTTGCCGAAACAAAGGACAAGCTGGAAGGCAGGACAAGGGAAGTTCTAGGGCGATTGAACCGTAAGTTCATTTGTATAGTGATGTGACCCATTGTTTTAAACTTACTAAATCTCTCAGAAATATGATTTATTTACTTATTTATGATATCAGCTGGAAGATCTAAGGGGTCTACAGCTAATAAATCACCTGCGTTGACTGCCTCTTCTTTTGGTGCAATTCCTTCTCATCCTAACTGCATTCCCCAACTTGTAAACTCTAGTCGGAGGTACTTCGCTCTTTAAATTCACCAACTCCTAGTATTCTCTAAATTTCTTTTTTTTATTTGAACATTTGAAACTTGGTATGCTGGATTCCATTTCCTTTCTGTTTAGGGACTCCGGAGAATCACAACTTACTTCGCACGTTAACAATCCTCCTCTTTCAAGGATTTCCTCTGACAAGGTTTGTTATTGTTTTCAAATGTTAATACCTCTTATGCTATTTTTGTAATGGGATTGTCTTCTGGCACAATTGTGACTAGTAGCTTTTTTTCATATTATAATATATAATAAGGTAGCCTGTATTTTCTATTGGCATTTTGCATTTGGGGACCTGGGGTGGTCTGGTCAAAATGAAGGCTAATTTAAGTCCAAAGCATGTGTTTATTAATTGGTTTTTCATTTCTAGATTAAGGGGGGTTTTGGATGCTGTATGGTCGATTGGTCCACATTAATTTTTGTGAAGTTGCTTGTTAATTGCCTACACTAACATTTTAATTGAATCTTCAAGGAGTATTTTGCTTCCCAATCAATGAATCAGACCGTCCAGATGGTGAGGGAGAAGCTCAATAAGGTGATAACCTCTCAATAGCACGTATTTTTTTCATGGAGCTTCCAGGGTCTGTTAGATGTAATACATTTTTTCTCGTCTACCAGATTCAATCAAGTAGTGAGCACCTGCAAGATGGGCATGCATCCAAGAAACCGCGGGTGGACAATAGGAGGAGAATCTGAAGATTTTTTTTTAGAGATGAAGCAATCCTGGCGGGTCTAGATGTTATATTTTGGGTCTCACTTCGGCTGTAATTAAATTTTTTAGAAATTTTTCTGAAGGACGGTCATACCACGGAATCATACTAGCGTGGTACGACCCCCCACGCAATGAATGCCATGTATGTGTAAGACAGACCCACACAAGTTCTCTTGATTTACATGAATACACCGTTAATTGCCATGTAAACTACACTGAGTAGCGTGTTTAGTAGATAATAGTGTAAATGCTACTTATTTTGTAAGGAAAAATTCCTCCAAACATCAAGAATTCTACAAAAAGCAAATGGAATTCTACATCCAAATTTCAAAGGTGCAGAGATTAAAACTAAAGAATCTCAATCGAAGAATTTGTGAGATACTGGGTAGGCTTCTTAGTTCTCTTTAGTTAATGTTGGCTTCGACCACTTCTAAGTGGCATCACAAGAATGAGTTTTGTAGAATTGTAGAAGCAATGTAGCAAAGAGTGGCAAGAAATCTAACTCCAGACCCAGATCAATAATACTCCCAAGAAAAATATCAACTGTGGTTAACATAAAAACCATGATCAGAACAGAAACTTCTTTCTCAAAGTTAAACAAAACCTAGAGCAGTAACAAGTGCTTAAAAGTTCACAAAACAAGTTCATATTTATTCTAAAACAAAGGTACCTAAGATTTCAAACCCTTTGAAATCTGAAATCCACACCAAAGTGACAATCAAGGTTCCTCTTTCGGGGCAGCAGTCTTCTCGTAACGTTGCCTGAACTTGGCAACCTGCCCGAGGTTCTCAGTCATTTGCCGTTTCGCCTTCAAGTGGTAGACTTTACCAACATGGTGGATTTTGGTCATCATAACGTGCATCAATCTGCCACTCTGGGTCACATAAGATATCCATTGCATCTGGGGGTGCAACCCTTTCTTCATCTCCTCGGATAATCTGCAATTTGAAAGCATCACTTCTCAGTTATCCAAAGATCACCTTTTACAAATTCACAGCCAAATAGTATCCAAAAATCACATGCAATTGTGGAGGAACCACTCTCCTTAACAACTAAAACTTGAAAACACAAAACATTTGTCAGAGTAATAGCCGTCACTTCATGTAAGCATTTCATCGAACACCTGGTATTCACTTTCACTTCAAGCCCCAAATTTTATTACTTGGGTTCCCTTTGAATATATATATATATAGGGTTGGAGCATAAACGTAAACATAAAAACAATGAGAAAGCTAAGAGCAGATAGAGCGGAGGAGAGACACTTACAAGCGATTGAAGCAAAGCCGATGAAACAATGAGAGCTTCCAAATGGATCTTCTTGTCTGATTCTAGCCACCCTTCTTCTCAAAGTTTCACGCATCAGAACTTGGATTTTGCAGCTTCATAGCGCAAATTTTCGCCGACCCGCCTTACAAATATGGGCCTGAACTTAAGTTTGGGCCTTAATTAAACCATCTCTTCATGTTACCAGAATCTCTGGTCTTAGGCCTGTTTGTGTATGGTCGTTTTCTGGGTCTTTGACTAGTTCTCGTCCCACAGAAATAAAATAAAAAAGGAAAATAACAATTTCTGTCTTCTAATTTGACATTTTATTTTTACCTTTTTATTTTTTATCAGAGAAAAATAACTTCATTGAAACAACAATGTCAGAATACAAAAAATAAAAACTGAACTTCAGTGATGCAACTAGTGACCTCATTAAAACCTTACCTTTAAAAACCCCGAAACGAAGGAATGACCTTTTTTTTTATTATTGTTCAAATAGTTTTATTTTAAGACAGTTGAGAGACAAACTTAAGCTTGAGCTCGTTCTAAAACGAGATTACCCGGAGATTAGGCTTGTAAAATAGCCAATATCCGAGGTTAGGCTTGTAAAAATAGCCCAAATCCGACATTAGGCTTGTAAAAATAGCCCAAAGTCCGATGGGCTAGCTTGAATACCCTATTTTTAGGGCTATGAGCAAACTTGAACACTTGGTAACGCAGCTTGGCTCCGCTCATTTACACCTCTCAAATATAGTTATCTTTAACGAACCAGAGGAACAGTGTAATGAAAAATGATATGGGATTTGCAAGTGCTATGGTCATCTCATGTATATAACAGTTGTATCACCCCAAAGAAATGCCTGGCCTTATATAATAGTACTAGAGAGGAGGATGACGAAAGGGAAAAACCAAAAATATAAAATACAAGCAACAAGGTATTTTACAAAACATAACATTTATTCATCCACAACAATAATCACTACATAGTATTTTACATCACCCATAAAGCACCCAACACAAATAGATCAAAGTTGTTCTGCAGCATACACAAAACTGCAACAATAACGCTGACAATGCAAAACCAGTTTTGCTTATTTAGGCATCGAATAGCATCCAATAAGGTACAGACATAAACCCAAATGGCAAACTGCAATACTAGATTCACATGGAAAACACCATGAATCTGCTCATTACTGCAGAACAAGGCATTGTTGTGTCCCAGTCACCATAGCAGCATGGGAGCTTGTGTTAATGGTGCCGACTTCGTCATGAGAATGAGGCTCAACTTCCAGATCCTCGAGTAAATTTGCATTCCCATTATCACCACAAGCAATGGCCTCAAAAATAAGAGCATTCACTTCTTGGAACCTCTCTTCTGAAAGGGATACCTCTGCAAGGAGCTTCCAGGCATTTTCATCAGACGCCTCTTCATAGTCCTTTTTCCTCTTTAACACCATATGCCCACTAATTTCCCACACAGCTGGATTCACCTGAGTATCCAGGAGCTCTGCTCTCACTTCCCCAAGAGCTTGTTTCTCAGCATAACACTGCGTTTGATAAGACCATGTGTATGAGGTTGAGTGAGACAACCTATGTAATGAAAACAAGGCGAAAAAATGGCTAACAAAACATTAGAGTTTTCGTAACCATATATACCTGTGGCAGGAGAAAGATCCGCTTTCCACAGTCGGAGATAAGGACATTGTACGGTATGTTGTTCTCTTGAAGGCATATGCATGCATCAGAGACAGTGTTTGACAAATCTTGCAGAGTTTTTCCACCCTCGAAGACAAGACCTCTGACGGGATAGTTCAGAAGCTCAGAGACCTTCACCCCAGCACCTGAAACAGTGATTTTCTTGGTAGGAGCCTTCTCAATGGGAAAGGTTACAGCCAAGTAGTAAGCCTATACAAAAAAGAAAAATCATCAAACAGGTATTAATTGTTGAATGATAACTACAAATAGCAGTGAACCATATCAGAAGCTGAATCTAATATTTAGGGCCAGCTCGCTAGAAAGGCATGCGGCTAGAAACCTGGAAGTGAAGGTGATTGATGGTAGCAAATGCACCCAAGCTGTTGTAACCCAATCGAAAGTAGGGATTCCCTGCTTCTGCCGCCATGTGAAGTGCAAGCAAGAAGCTTTCACGGTCAATCCTTTGTGGCAAGCGCTCCAGAATACGAGGAATCAACAGCACATGTCCATATTCAATTGGACTGACCTGTTGAATGGTGGATGGTAAATGATATAACTTTTTTGTTCAAATAACCTGTTAAGAACAACTAATGCACAAGAACAAAGAGCGTACATTGATGGCAACAACACTGGGCGAATTTTCAGGCTCAACAGGCGCACTAGGGATAAACTGAACTTCACCATCTTCGCTTGCTTCAAACTGGAAGAGGACCTCCTCTTGCCCAACTTTGGTGAAGTTAAACTTGTTGCCATCAAAGGGCTGGAGGACCTTATCAACTCGGAACTCAGTTGGTCTCTTCTTCAAGTGGCGACCCTCATTCAGCTGGGCTATGAAACCAAACTGCCCCGGGATCACCTACACCGGAATATCAATCCATATCTCAAATAAGCATATGCAAATTGTCTGCATCTTGAATCCCAATTTACAAACAACAAATATGAGGAAATGGTAGAGGAACCCAGAATACCTTGGTTTCACAGGCAGTGACGTCATAACGAAACAGCCCTCTCTGCATGCGATCTTCCCACTGATAAGACGCAGCAAACAATTTTAATTCATAATAATGGTTAGATACAAGAGGGAACAGACAAAGCTGGACATTCTTTCTTAATCTCCCAACAATAATTTTACCTCCCCAAGAAGCAGTGAGTCAAGAAAATCAACGGGAGGCTCTCTTTTCTCACTTCCGAGCAACTCCTTGCCACCACCAATCTTGTTCAGCTTCTTGAAAGCATACAACGGAAGCTTTGCCCCTACACAAACCCAAATTGGTACAAAACCCAGTCACAACTAAAGCCCATACCAAAAAGGCGTGAGAATCTAACTTAAACAACATTTTCTTGAAAGCCTATAATATAACAGGACCTTTGCTCCTTCCTACTCCAACCCCAAACAGAAAAACAAAATCCCAGACAAGAATAATGCCAAAAACCAATTAAAAACCCACCCAAAAAATATCAACATTTGACCCATTTTCTTGACAATATATATAAGGAGCCTTGCAAAGACAAACAAAACAAATTCAAATTCTAAGTCTAAATAGAGGGTGTTTCAACAAATACCTGGAATGCAACATTGATTAAGACAGTTGCGGCCACAACCCCCAACGCGGCGAGCACCCTCTTCCGCCTCATCTTTCTGGTAATTCGACACTACAGTAGGAACCCTCTTTATCCTCAACATCATTATTCTCTCTCCTTTTTTTTTTCCTTTTTCGTTTTGTTCTTTGTTTCTCAGTAAAAAACAAACACCACCAACCTTAAACCCCCCACAACAACAACAATACGATCTACTCGTGCTTTATAGAAGAAGAAGAGGAAAAAATCTCTAAAAATCTAAACAGAAACTAGAGCTAATAAACGCAGAAGGAAAAAAGAGAGGAAGCAGAACCACCACCAGCAAGAAAGAGAAGGTCGGAGGGGCTACCGCCTTCGGAAGGCAAAGCACCACGCCCGCCGTGCGGCGAAGGGTTGCTTTCAACTACACAACCCTTTCGTCGGACAGCCCGGACATGAATGAGCGGCCGAGGAATTCCGTGTATAGCCGTGATGTCTACAACTCGTCGAACCTGGGTTTTACCCCCGAAGAGAAAAACTTATCAAACACCTTCTTCGCCTTGCTCGCCTTCCTCTTTCTGCAACAAGATGGCCTGGTTGTTGGGTTCAATCGAAAAACCCAGATGAAAACTTGAAGAAGAAGAAGTTCTTGGGAGGGGATAAGTGGGTGTGGTTTGTGGTTGTGAGGGTGTGGTGAGGAGATGAGGGCTGGTTATATAGATGATGAGAAGGGGTTTGGGGAAGAAGAAGAGGGTTGTGGTTGAGGATGTGCCGTGGGGCTGTGTTGTGGGTTTCGTGGCCCTGGTTTTGTTTGGTGTTTCGTAATTTGGACAATAATTGAGAACGAAAAGAAAATATTACGAGAGAGATTGAGGGGTAGGGGTACGGACGGATCGAAAAAGACCCGCCTTTATTTATACGCAAAATAAAGAGGGGATTAAAATACTTCAACTGCCCTCCAATTAATTGGGAAGTTCATTTCCTAAATAAAACTTTCTTGCTTAAAATCGAATTTCCAAAATTATATCACACCAGGAAAATTGTATATAATTTTATTTTTTTTACCTAAAAATTTCCATGCGTTGCTAACGCGGTTTAACATAGTGAAAAAAGGACATTGACTTGCAAATCAAATAGCTCACGTTCGAACCTCCATAACATTTTAGTTGTGTGCGTGTAGGTGAGAAACTCATTTCCCCTATAGTTTAGACTATCACTTGTACTAAAAAAAGAAAAAATAATTTCTATGCATTGTTGTATTTTTTTCCGCAATGGTCGTTTTGTTTTCCAATTGTTCGAATCGTATATAACTTTCGAGAAAATAGAAATTATACGCCAGAGCTATTTATGTGTCATTTTCTATTCTTAAACAAACTATTGAAGGGTTTTTTTTTTTCTAATTTTAAATCAAAGTTAATTTTTTTTCCATCCCAAATTTATACTCAACTAGTTGTATGTTTAATGAAAATTTTGACATGTATATTTTATTTTTTCTCTTTGTTTACTATTTTAATTTTAATTTGTAGCTTGCATGCAACTTAATTTTAGCTTTGTATGTAACTTAATTTGCATGCAAGATTTTCTTCAAATAGACCCAAGTAACCACACCTTTGTCAAACCCATAACGCAAAAATCCAGCTTCGGAAATTTCCCAAACCGCAGAGACAAGAAAGAATCTGCCAACTCTCTCACCATCGCCACCCTTTGAACGAAAATTCTCACTGCACCCCCGAAACTTCCTAGGGCACCTACATACATCTGTTGTTGTGAATCTGAATCATAAAAATAATTATAATATAATTAATCCTACTTAAGGACCCACTTATCCCCTAAATAGTAAATTACGAATATTCTAGTCCTGCAAACAAACAAACACGTGGGCTGTAACTTGTAACATGTATCCTTCTCTGTTCATAATTGGACGACAGTGATTTTACTAGGCAGTGGTTTTTATCATTATAAAATTGGACCAAGTGTGAACGTTGGAAGAAGTAGGGTGGGGTCCACCAAGGGAGAAAGCAAGAAGAAGACGAGGTTTAAATGAAAAAGGTTAACGATTCCGGATCTACGGAGGGAATCATTCTGGGGTGCATGATGCACATGGGCTTTGTCCGCGGTCCACGTACACGCTGGTGAGAAAGACTTGTAATTTGATATCCATCACTGGATTTATCGGGTTCCTTTCAGGCATTTAGGAGCCCAACCTACCTCAACATCCTGTTCGTAGATTTTTGCCCCTTTGCTTTTTTTGCTTTTTGGGGTTACATCATGGATTAATCACTTCTTCCTTTTTATCACATATTTGAGATTCATGATTCATGATTTGATATGTTAGTAATTTATTACATGTTCGCTTATTTGTAACGACATAAGTTATAAATTAGAGAATTCGGAAATGAAAAAGAGAATAACAACCGCACTATATTGTCTTAATTTTAATGTTAGACTGTTCCGTTATTATAATGGTTCTTTGTGGGTAGTTTGCATTGATCATTTGTTGTGGATAGTGATTTTTTTTACTAAATTATAAATGCAATACTAATATTTTTATAATTAAAAAAACGTGTTATTAGGTGCATTGGTATAATCGAGTTGACAGAGATGACCCAAGCTCCTATATCCTCAAATTTGAATTTGGAATTGGAACATGGGACCAACTGGTTCAAATTTCGATGGTACTAGACTTGCAACAGTGTGAAACATTATCCAATGTTATAGGGTCGGCATTTCAAGTACAGCAGGACCAAGAGCAATTTTAACTAAGTATCTTATAGGGTCGCGATTGTGTGTTAGAAAAATTTATACAGTCGCCGTTGTGTGTGAGAAAAATTTCCTTGTGTTTTTAAATTTTGACAAAAAACTGTGGTGATTTAAAAAGAATTAATTAAAAATCCTCAACTAAATATCTTATTTGTTTATCATGTGGAAAATGCAGTTTTAACCCTTTTCGGATCATGTGCTGCTTTGCTTGTTGCTCACACACGTGCCTAAAGAGTAAACCAAACAGCACCACATGTGACATGTACCATGCCACAATGCTGTCTTCCTTCAAACAAAGTAACAACCAAATCGGGGGCCTCCAAATTGAAGGACATGGTCCAGTCTCTCCATGGGACACTATCTTATCCATTATCCTGTTCACGTGAGCAAGGGCCATAAAATAGAACTGCGTGGGGCCCTCTCATCCGAGCACTAGTTCACTGAGAAATTTTTAGGTGTGATATACCGCAACGCGTTGTTACAAATTTACTAGCATCTTCTTTTTTATCTATGTATCTAGGGTGAACATTAGTCACACTGAATTGACTAAATCTATATATATAAAGCAAAAGGCAGAGAATGGTGAAACATTCAAAATATCAAAAAATGCCCTTGATTATTGCAAACATTAATAATTGAAATTATTAATTAAATAAGGATAATATGGTAAATTCACATTTAAAAAAAAAGATAATTGATCTTATTTTTATGGAACACAACTACCCATTATCTTTTTTAATTCTAAAATAAATTTAAATTTTAAAAAAAAAGCCTCTCGCAGGCGCGAAAGCGCTTGCGGAGAGGCTAGTTAACTATAATGATCGGTTTTGATTTTGAACTATTTTGCAAATTGTAATTAATATAAGTTGATATTTATTGACACTATTCTCTAAAAAGGGAGAAAATAAACCATGTCATTCACCCATATTGTAATACATGTACAAAATGTACCACGTAAACATACTACCGTAGTATTATATAATTTCTCATTCCTGAAAGGACCAAGCATTTTTATTGTTTGAAATAGGTTATATCCAATCCAAGGCATAAGGTTTAGGCCCAATTTTATCTTGGACTCGACAGCCATGTAAAATCCATTCTCGTTTGAGGTAGTTTTCTCTCCTAACTAACCTTTGATACTAGCCTCGGTGATAAAGGGAGTAGAAGAATATGTTTTATTTATAAATAAAATAAAATTAAAAGGATATTTTCTATTGAGATGGGCGATAATATACTAAACTCACATACACTACACGAATGCTACGACTTGAACCCATGATCTTTCTTGAGAGAGCAGTTGCTCTATACCACTTCACTAATAGGTCTTTTATAGAAGAAGAAGAAGAATAGTTTTTAATTTTGAGAAAATTGCATAAATGCTATCTAAATTATTAAGCATGTGTGTCTACTTGCCACCAAATGAAAAGAATTAATAAAGGTGTGTAGGGGTTTTTTTTGTTCCAGCAACTACAGATGGGTCTGGGCTACTGTAAAGAGCAAATGGATGAAGTTGCCCTTGTACTTGAGTTTAAGAATTAGGCCTCAAGAATTTTTCGAAAGGTTCGTGGAGCCTTAGGAAGCACCTTTGTATCTTTCACCGCTTGAGAAGCTTATGGCATGAGAGCTTAGCTGTAATACGTCGGAAAAAATAAAATAAAAGTGGACTTTCGTATTTTAGTGAAAAAAATAATAATATTATGGTGAAGAATAAATATGGGTATTTTATCAAGTGATTTTGTACTGAGATTATTGGATTAAGTGTATTTAATTTCAACTTTGACAAAAATGCCCTTACGTAACATTTTGTGATTTTGTTTTCAAAGGACATTTAAGACATTGAAGTGAAAAAATACTAGTTGACTCAACGAACACGTAGGAAATCATTTCTGAATTTTGGGCCAAAATGACCAAAATACCCATATGTGTGAAATTACCAAAGTATCCTTGTAGGCCGAAAATAAAAGAGAATCTGAAACGTGGAGGGCATCAGCCCACCCTCATCCCATTCTTCACCCCCTTGCCTCAAGCTTTCAAATCAACCATTTATGAAAGGATGAGTCACCTATTCTAAATTGATGACTCACCTAGCTTAAGGTTCTTCAATCATGAATTTATTCCCTTCCTCCCCATTCATTATATCATCACTCTCTTCTAAATTGATGGCTCACCTAGCGTAAGACTCTTCGATCATGAATTTATTCTCCTCCTCATCATTCATTGTATCATCACTCTCTTCCTCATTCACAATATTTTCATCCTCATTCTTCTTTTGTTCCTCTTCAAAATCCAAAATTCGTCACTTCCTTGGAGCAATCGATAACTCAAATTTCGAAATCTCAAATGAGAAAACTTATTTCATAAAAGTTGTTCATTTATGTGATTCCTATAACATGCTCCAATTTCACCTCAATCCGACTAGTACAGACTCTGAAAAGTTGGTATGATCACACTATGTTTACCATTTCCTGATTTCACAGTAGTATGCTTGGTTTCAATATGTTTTTGTGATTTCATGTACTCAAATGACTTTGGTTCCTTCATCAAAATTGTTTGAAATGCTGTCTATTATAATATATCAAAAGTTTAGGCTGATTGAACTTCTATAGCCACCTTGGGAACGTTTAGAGTGGAATTTATTTATAGTCTTCGACCCCAGTTCCTTCCCTCGGTTTCAGTCCAGAACACTCATTTCGAAAGCTCAAAATGATAGTTACTCCAAATTCTCCTCTTTATAACATATCCAAAGGTCAGCAAAATGCAACCATTATAACTCTCTGAAAATTGGTATGAACAAAACTTATTCATTGATTATATAGAATTTCTTGTTATAGATGTGTACTTTCTCTCAAATGGCTTGTTACTTGTCATTCCATTGATCAAATTAGTCAATATCATCTCAAGTAAATGATTCTTTGAAGGTATGAAGCTCATCTTCATATTGTCTCTTTGAGTACTAGTTGTAAATCAAATGGTGGTTAGAATGCCTCAATGATATATATCTCTTTCAAAGTGTGTTTATGTGAAGTTCTAGATTATTTCGATGTGATTTTGTACCAATTTCATTCTGGGATTTTGTTACATCAAAATTGATATCTCAAGGGTTATTTCAAAGTTGGTTTTGTGCCATTTGAATTTAAATTGATTTTTTTTTGTGAAATTTCAAAGTAGAGACTATGTTGTTGAAATTGTTATGATTCTACCGCATGCTCTGTTTTGAATACATGTTTGAAAACTTCCTGAACTTGGATTTTCATGAAATTTTAGTATGTTTTACTTTCACATATTTTCTTCAAATCTGAAAAGTTTTATCTAGTTTGGTTGTAAATTGAAATTTTGGTGAGTTTTCAAAATTAAGTGTACAAACCTTTAAAAAAGAACATTATGCAACCTAGTCTGTTTTTGTTTCTATTTTGACATGCTTCCTTAACCCTAATTTCCATCAAATTTTGAAAATTTTAATTTTTCTATGTCTAGTTGTGATATTAATTTTTTTACATTATTTTGATTTAAACTCAATATTTAGTGAATTTTCAAAGTTAACGTGTTCCAACCTAAATCTTTAGCAAAACTGAAGTTTTTGTTTTAAATTGATATTTTAATTTTGTTTTTATGAGGCTAAAGCCAAACCACCTGATTTTAAACATCCCAAAGAGTAGAACTATCATAGGAGGGGAATAGATTGGTTTTTCCTTGACGCTTAGTTCTATGCTTGCTTGGATGTGAGGTTAAGGGAGTAACGATCGGGTCAAACAACTTGTCAAGCGTATTATAAGGCTTTAGGTCTACGTGCGCCAGTAGGACACTCAAACGTGTTTCCTTGTTTCCAGGGAATTTTAATCAGTAAATTATCTTAATTAGGTTTTCTACTCTGCGTACTTTGGAGGACGAACCAGCACAAGGTTAAGCTAGCTGGACAAGGTTAAGTGACATAGCCCTATCATCGGGAAATCAGGAAATGGACTCGAGTTTTTGTGCTCCCAAGAAGCCCAAAACTTCCACTTCTTGGACCATCAATGAGCCTCGTGAATACTCGTAATCATCCATACCACAACCCGCTCAGCAAGTTCCAGGCATTCACATGGCTTGGGCCCACTTAAGCTTGTAGCGTGGTTTAGTGCCAAAATAAAGGTTTTCTACTTGGTGTTGAGTGTTATCTGGCATGCTTGTGCTCGAGTTTTGCCATATTGTAAAAGGCTATGGTCGGGGCAAATGACACTTGACAGGATAATAAGCATGGGTTCATAGAGCTAATACATTTTACGGGCTTGTCACGACCTTTCTGAGTGGCGGGTTACGTATTTGCTTGGCGTGGCACATGGACCATAACTCTTGTTAGCATACACGACGAACTCTTGCGTACCCAAGTCGGGCTTCTTCCCTAGTTAAGTGTTGTACTGGGCCGAAAATATATTTGGGCCCAGTCTTAAATTTTTTAGGCCTCAACAGGGTGCTATTAAACGAACCCTAAAATTAACTAAGCACACCATATTACCGAACTATTTATTAAATTACTAATTTACCCTAATATAAAATGACGAAAAATGATATATTGAATTGTGAAACAAATGTAATTTTAACAAGTACACCCTACTCACCATATTCAACACTAATTTACCCTTAGCTGATTCATTTTTCTTGGTTTCATCTTTATATTCTTGTGCTTGAGTTAGAGAGAAGCTCGGATTTTTCCATATGATTCCCATTTGAATGTCCTTGACTTTTTATGCCAAACTCCCAATCAACTCCATTGGAATTTTTGTTTAAGCATATGTTTTCCCATTGAATTTTTTTTAATACTTTTTTCAGAGAGAGATCTTCTTCCTTTAAATTGTTTATCAACTGAAGACCTTTTCGAATCATATTCAGTATCATCTCCACAAGCATAACTCCACTTGTAGATCATGTTGGTATTGTCCATGTCTAATTGAATGGAATGAAGATCACTATCACCACCTAAATCATCTTCAAGCATAACTTCCATTCCATTTCCTTATTTCTTTGCGTTCTGAAATGATTTGAAATTTATTTTGTTTGAATAAGCCTCAAGTTCTTTGATTCTTTCAAATTTAGTGTTGTGTGATAGAGTGTATTAAAGTGTACCATATGTATTTTTAGTAGTTAAATGGGGTGTACTTGGTTAATTTTACATTTTGAATTAAATATTTGGGTGTACTTAGATCATAAGGTGCACTCAGTTAATTTTAAGGTTCATTTAACAATAATCACTAATAATTTAACATCCGAACTTTTCATTTGGTGTTAATGTACCACCCCACCTCCGTCTAATTTTCGTCTAAGCTACAAGAATATCAAAAAAATTTGCCTAGCCATTTATTTCTCTTGATTGCATCTTAACATTCCAGTTTGGACCAATATTTTTGTCAACATAACCCTCTTAGGCCCCGTTTAGGATTGCTTTTTTCACCAAAAACCTGCTTCACTTTAAAGTTAAGCAGATTAAGGTGTTTGGTAAAAATAAAATATCTCGATTATTTTAAAAGCAGTGACGTTTTGACAGCAGCTTTTAAAAGCAGGCTTTGGGTTGCTTTTCAAAGCTGCTTTCAAAAGAAGCAGAGATGAACTTTTTTATGAATTTTTTTAATTCCCAAAATACCATAATTCATTTTAAAAAATGACACCACCTCCACTTTCACATCCAACTCTATCACTTGCACCACCACATTCACTACCTTCACCACCACCACAACCACCACCTCCACCTCCACCACCACCTCCTCCACCTCCACCTCCACCACCATCACCACCACCACCACTACCACCACAACCACCTCCTCCAAAATCTCCACATCCACTACCACCTCCACAACCAACACCACAACCACCACCATGCTGCCACTACCACCACCACCACCACCTCCACAATCGCCATCCCCACCACCACCACCACCACTACCACCAACTCCACCTTCATCACCACCATTACCTCCACTCCATCACTACCACTACTATCACATAATTAGTACATAACACTTTTAACATCATATCTATTTTAGTCATTATTCACAGTTACAACAATTTTATATTAAAATTTACCAAACAGTTTTGACACTTACTAACAGCACTTTAAAAATATTATTTACCAAACATGGAGCTGTTTTACTTTACAGTTAATTATTTTCAAATCACAGCAGAAACAACTTTTTTTTAAAAGTGACAGCAATCCCAAACTGGGCCTTAAAACATTCAATTGTGGCTTTTTATTTCAAGGGTAAACTGCCAAAATGCCCCATGAACTTGTACATAATTATCAATTTATCCCATGACATTTTTTTTTACAAAATTAGGGACTCAAACTAAATTTTATTCTCAATTTCCCCATGCTGTCCAAATTCTCAACATTTCATCCAATTTTCAGTTAAATTATTAAAAATAAATTATTATTATTGTTGGAAAAAAAGAAAGAAAAGAAAAAAAAAAAAAAAAAAAAAAACAAAACCCCATAGACATCACCTTTCTTCCCCACCATCACCATCCCCACACACCTCTCCTCATCACCACAGCCAACCCCTCATCTCACCAACCCCAAACAACTCCTCCCCATCCCCCAGCTCAGCCACTCAAATCCTCGATTGAAATCACAGCAGCCAGTGACCCAACCTCTTCCCCACCCGCAACCCACCCTACATCCAAAAAACATAAAAGAAAACCCTATCCCTACCCACAAACCCAAACCCATTCGCGCCATTTCCTCTATGATTTTTTCCCATAGCCTTAAAGGTCTAGACCTCTTCACCTCACAAGTTCATTGCCCCTTCACCCAAAATCTTGATCCCAAATCACACAACTCATCAATGGATTCAAGAGTTGAATAAAATGACTGTTTGGAGGGTGGGGGCTAATGGGTTTGGTCTTAGAGAGAGAGAGAGAGAGAGAGAGAGAGAGAGAGAGAGAGAGAGAGGGGCAGAGTTGCAGAGAGAGGGAGTCTTATAGAGAGAGGGAAAAATGGTTTTGGTCGCAGAGAGAGAGAGAAGAAAGGGTGGGGGGTTCCACCCCTCTGTTTATTAAAATGATTTTTTTTATTTTATGTCATACTATTTTATTTCATAGTATTTAATTATTTTTAACATATGAAATGATCAATTTGCCCTCATATTTAACGACAAATTGGATGAAATTTTGAGAATTTGGATGACATGAGGGAAGTTGAGAATAAAATTTAGTATGAGTCCTTAATTTTCTAAAAAAAATAATCTCAGAGTAAATTGATAATTAAGTAAAACTTCAAGGGGCATTTCAACCGTTTACCCTTTATTTCAAATACAACTTGGGCATACACACAGTTTCTGAACAAACTTGTGGCACCCAACATTGAATCAAATACAAACACATCAAATAGTTGGGGTGTACCGTCTATGGTTGGGTTTCGAGAAAGATTACAAATTCTGAATTTATATAATATTTGTAGGTGAAAGGGTGCAAAGCGGAATTATGGATAGAGTCGGAAACAAATAAAAAAAAGTAAAAACAAAGTTTGGCTACGCAACGCAACCACGCGGTTTCATTTATTTTCCTTTTTTATTTTATTTTGCCTCGATCTCCTCTTCTCTTCCTCCCCCCTGACTCAGGTAATTGGTGCTTCCATGGACGAGGTGATCACGGCCGCTGATGCCTCATCGAATGGATCTACATCATCACAGACCTCCATCATTCCCTCTAATCTTCCTCTCCTCTCTGCCTTCCTCTCCTTCGCTCTCGCTCAGTTTCTCAAGCTCTTCACCACCTGGTAATATTCTCTCTCTCTCTCTCTCTCTCTCTCTCTCTCTCTCTCTCTCTCTCTCTGTGTAATTTGTAATTCTATGTCTGGCTGTATCTGGGTCAAGTTTAAGTTTGTAGATTTATGACATCTTTATTTTTTCTTCTATTTTCTCGGCTTCTAAACGTGTAAGGCAAAGTTCATTGATTTGTTATTTGGCATTTTTAGGCAATTTTCTTGATGGGTCATAATGGGTCCTTTTCGTTTTGTGAAATTATGTGATGGTTTGAGTGAATTGGATGATGACGTTAATTTACATGCACCATTTTGGCAGTAGCCGAAAAATGTTTTTGCTTCACATTACATTCACCATTTGGTATTTGTTAATTTATTTGTCTCTTTGTTATGTCATTTTCTTTTCACTATTTTGGCTATGTTTATAAATTTTGTTGTTTGCTCAGTTTTTCAAATATTTACTCGTAGACGTGCAGGTACAAAGAGAAAAGATGGGACTCTAGAAGGATGCTTGGGTCAGGAGGAATGCCCTCGTCGCATTCAGCTACTGTGACAGCTCTGGCAGTTGCTATTGGTTTCCAGGAAGGAACTGGAGGATCGGCGTTTGCCATTGCAGTGGTCTTGGCATGTGTTGTATGTAACTCTTAACCAGGTCTTGTTCATTCTTTTTGTGTAGGCATGCATGCTCATATTTAAAGGCTTTCTGTTGGGATGTGAAATCTCAACGTAATGTCAAAATTCCCTTTACTTGCTTGTTTTAAGCTTGTTACTCGATTGATTAAATATCTGGAGTTCTTCTATGTCATACTCTGAAACTTCAGTTGCCCGTTTATGACTGCACACATTCATTCATCATACTTCCGTAAGGGGATTAAGCCTTGTTCGTTCATCATCAACTTTCTGTTTGTGATTGTAGTGTCTTATCAATTCTGTGGAATCATTTGTCTTAGTTCTGCACAACTTAATCGACTGTACTTGGACCAAAAATGCTTATTTAGTTGAAGAGAGTAAAAAATACATCCCAAAAAGGTTGACCTTTGACACATTTGTGCACCATCAAGCGAATAATATAAATGTAAAAATATAATGAAGCCTTTTACTGGTATTTTCTTATCGCTTATAATTTAACTATGTCTACTTCAAAATCTAAATGCGCTCGGTAGTTTCTTTCCCCTGAGAAAATATGAGTCTTTCCCTTCATAAGATGATGTTTGAATAGTTAATATTTGTAGCCTAGAAACCCTTGGTACATAAATTACTCTAGGTGAAATTGTTAAGGTAAGTGACCTCAAACAAAGATGAAACATGGAAACCACAATCTCAGCTAATTATAATTTAAGAAGATCATAACTATATCCTCAGCTTTCAACTTTTTGTGTTACTTATACTTAATAAAAAGATGAGAAATGATCATTTTTTTAATTTGTATTACATCATTCTCAGTTTGGTTTCCGTTACTGCCCATAGTTTTACAAACCATCCATGATTTCTCATGGAGTTGGGTTGCCTGTATTTAAAATGACTGTTTCTTGCAGGTCATGTATGATGCTACTGGTGTAAGACTCCATGCTGGTCGTCAAGCTGAAGTAAGACTTTTTTTCCCTAGTCATCAATATCCCCTGTTGACACGTGACATCGCACATACAATTGTACTATCTAATGTATGGGGTTTGTTTTGCGAAGTTTGTCAAATAAGCTTGGGGATAAGGGGATCATACTGAGTGAATATCTGCTTCCTTTTTCGCAGGAAGCTTAGGGTTTCTTATATTTTCTTTTTCGTAGATGCTATGTGATAATTGTTCTCTATAAATCTTTTAAAATATTCATTTCTATTTGAGTGCTAGTAATTGCTAATTGTGTATTGTTTTTCTGTAACATTTCCTTTGAAGTTACTGCTCTTTGTAATGTGTCAAGCTAGATTGTTGACAACACCTTTGTCAATATTACAATACAAGCTGTATGACTGGGCATACATACCTCCTGAATCTAAGGGAGAAATTCTCAAGAATTTATTATTATTCAAGCATTGTTTTCTGTAACATTTTCTTATCTTTTTAAGGCTTGTCAAGTTGGAGTTTTGGCAACACTTTTATCAATATTACAGTGTAATTGGGGCCTAAGAAACATCCCCACCTGTAAGACTGATCCACAACTGCTGCCTGAACCTAAGGGTGAAATATAGACATGTATTATTATGATGGCCAAAGATTAGAGGCAATGTTGCCATTAGAGTTTATGTCAGTCTAATGATCTATCAATTATATGGGAATACCGACTTATTTTGGGGTGCTTGTATGTGTGATAAAATACGTGCAACTAGGAAGCAGAGGTTTTTTGTATCTATTTAGGATTGCAGTATATGCCTAAATAGCAATACAGCCATTCAAATCCCATCATACGCATTTTTAAATATGTTTTCTCCTGGATATGACTCTTGTGACAAAATTCTTGATGGACATGGTACTGACACATGGACAAGGCAGTGCTACGGAACGCAAACATGCTGCACACATGAACACGTGCAGAAAATGTGATATTTTTTCTTCTTGCCCTAAAGTTTTTGAAGTTATATTTGACTTATTTTGTTTATCCATATATGTACACACGTATTGCGTAGGCACTTTTATGTTAGAGGGGCAAAAACAGCCATATAATGATGCGTCCATTATGTCTTGGTTGTGTGTTGGTATGTGTCTGAAGTGTAAACTTTATCTGAAATTCTAGACAGGGGAGGACTAGTGGTTTTCAATAAGTATGTCATATCATTGAAGTTATGAATCTTCATTTTTATTCAAATACCTTGGTTGTATTTCCTTCTTTTAAATAGTAATTTTGTTGTGGTGGTTAATAACTGTTTACTTTTTTTAGTTAACTTGTGTAATTGTAACTGTATGCTTTGTGCTTATGCTTGTTTTATTATAATTATAATTTATAATGCAACGCATTATGATGCTTATTGCAGTTATTAAATCAAATAGTATGTGAGCTACCTCCAGAACACCCAGTTTCTAGTGTTAGACCTCTACGTGATTCACTTGGTCATACTCCATTGCAGGTTTGTCGCATTTTACTTGTTCATTTTCATTCATGCAATGGTTACAAAATGACGACGACATTAATTGTCAGAAACTTGAGAATATATGATCATGACTTGCATCTCTGTTTTGTTTGATGTGGCTGCAGGTTCTTGCAGGTGCAATGTTGGGATGTATAGTAGCTTCCCTCATGAGAAGTTCCAGTTAGTTAGCAGATGGTTAATTAGATTATTCTCTGACTTAGAGAGTGAATCACGGGCTCTAAAGGTCATTGCAAGCATTTCCACAGAAGATTTCTCAACAATTTCCCCCCCGTCAACAGTGAAAAAAATTGACCCAAAAAAGTATGGCAAGTTTGTAATCAGAATTCAACTGTAAAAACGTAAAAAAGTGTGTTCTAACGCCTTTGAACACTTGGCTATATGATTGTTCATCCCAAGTACATAAAGATGATTGTGTTTTTTTTTATTATTTTTGGCAGTCTGGATATGATCTTTACCAATTGAGTCAAGTCATCCTCTTCTTTTAAAAGTTTTTACTTTTTAATTTATGTCAAATGTCAGTGCAACCTCCAATCTCCAAAGATCATCATAGCTTGGATTATTTGACTTTCTATGTTACTTCGCTTCCAGTCCAAATTCCACCAAGCAACGCCCCTCTAACAAAACTTTGTTAGTTCTAAATGTATACAAGCGATATTGGGGATGGTAGAATCGAATTTAAGACCTCAAATGAATCAAATGCAGAGATTAATACTCTACTTAGTAGCCACCTCAACATTGACGTCACTTTTAATTCACCTTCCCTCCCTTGTAGAATTTTTACCCCACAAACAGGGCCATGGACAATTTTGTTTTTTGGTTAATGGAGGCCAAAGCCAAGGAAGAGAAAAGATTAACCAGGCACAGCCCTACCATGGGCCCTGCCCAACTCATCATCCAACAAAATGCTAGCACGATAGTCAGGAACAAACTCATAGTGATGAAGTCCCCAAGGAAGACCATGCCCCACATTGGCATTACGGATATGGACAATTTGCTTCCGACGGAAACATTGAACATCAAATGGAAAAGAGCATACACAGCACAACATCGATTGCTGCTTTTGTCAAGAAAGCAAAAGCCAGTACTCACATGAAACTCGAGCAGCTTAATTAAAAAAAGTAATAAACAGCTGAAATATTTCTATTTTTTGTCGAAAAAGCTGAAATATTTGGAATTTCTTTGTTTCACAAAACCATTACATCACATAACAACCGTCTAATTTGTTCACCGCTGAGTTTGTGATATATCTCCTCAGTCAAACAATTTTATAAACAAAGCGAAGTAGGGATTATTATAAGTTCAAGCCTACCATGTTCACCGCTGAGTTTGTGCTCCCCTTTCCTCACTTAACTACAGATTCATCTCCTGAAGGTTTAACAAAAGATCTTCGGAGTTCAAGAAAACCTTGTTTGATGAATTGGAGATAACTTGCGCAATTTCTCTTGCAGCCTCAATCTTCCTGAGAGTGATAAATGCCGGATTGTTGGCAATGGCTTCACCAATGAGCTTGGCACTTGTGGCTTCACCCTGGAGAGCAGGGCAACAAAAAGAGTCAGACATTTAATTCAAAGGAGGAGAACTGCTCAACCAAAATTATGGAGAAATAAAGACGTTCCGAAAGCTCTAAATAAAAATAATGATCAAATTGGAGGAATTACCTCTGCTCTGATAACAGCACTTTTCTTGTCTTGTTCAGCTTTATCCACAACAAACTTAGCCCTCTCAGCTTCTTGTGCAGCCACCTGTTTGGCTTCAATTGCAATCATAAACTCCTTTCCAAAAGTCAGGCTAGTAATCGACACATCATCCATTGCGATATTGAAATATGCTGCCCTCTCTGTCAAAATTTTCCTTATTTCCCTACTAACAGCCTACAAAATAAAATGAATTCAGTCAGTCAGTGTCACCTGGAATACCATCTTCAACTTATCCCTTAGATAATATACACGACTAAAGTGTACAAACTTTGTCAGAAAGGAGTGAAATAATATCTTCAACTTATGCCTCAGATAATACAAGACCCTTCAAAGGATTTGAATTGTGGAAATCAACTATTTTAGTCAAATCAGAAATAATGAATCACTTACAAAGCACAATAATCCAAGAAAAACTTCCTTCTAGCTACTGAACTTTTAACTTTAGCTGAGAAGGATGAAACCAAGAGCTTAAAACTTGCACATTAAGTTGAAAGCACTTGTAATTATTACTGTACATGGATTTCATTTATAAATATGTTGATTTTGAAAAAAAAGGGTACTGGTTTGCAAAGCAAAATTTAACTTTTTAGAAGAGCTTGCTGCTGATTACCAAATTTATCAAGTATTTCATTTTTTTTCTTTCTGGTTTTAAACAATTTGGTACGTTAGCAGTATAATTCATTAATTCCCCTGGTAAATTGAGCTGTTAAGCTTGTTTTCTTGAGTTAAAATCTCATATATTTACAACCTGCTGAAAAACACATAATTGTAAGCAAACCACATTTCATTACCTAAAATGTAAACAAGAAAACCCAATACAGAGTTGTGGGAGAGAGAAAGGTGAGAAGGTAAGCAAGAAAACAAATTGAAATAATGACCAACGACAAGAAAAATCAAACAAAACAAACAAAACAAAACACAATTCTAATTATAGCTAAAAGATAATTATAAGCCTTCTGCTTACCTCTCTCTGAGTAATGAGTTGACTGGCATTATACTGTGCAACAACAGCTTTCAAAGTTTCATGGATAATTGAAGGCAGGACCCTCTCATTATAATTCTCCCCAAGAGTTCGATAAACTGTGGGTAACTGGTCTGGCACAGGGCGGGTCAGAACTCGAAGTGCTATTTTCACCTGTAAAGAAACACCAAAAAAAAATAATGTAAAAAAAAAAAAAAAAAAAAAAAAAAAAAAAAAAAAAAATAAAAAAAAAAAAATTTCCTTCAAAATTAACATATAAACTGATACCCCCCTTTAACCTATGCATTGTAATCAACATTATAGACACTTCACTGGAAATCTACATGGGTAGAACAGGTTCACCCATATGTGACAGAAGATAACAGTTTAACACAAACAAAATCAGCAGCGAGAGTAAAAATGGGTGCCGAACATATAGGTGGGAGTGGGAGTTAAGAACATCAAGATTTCATAAGAATTCTGAAACTGTTGAGATCTGATGGGGAGAATAATAAACACCATGTAATGCAAAACACACAAGAGGAGTCCAAGGTAAGTGCCCATTGGTTTTGACAAAGAGATTAGTCAAATAAACATCATTTCAGGCATTAACCACAATTTTTATGGAACAGAAATAAGAAATATACATACCATCTGAAGGTCACGGCTTCCAGAAGTACTCTCCACTAGATGTGGTCGTGCACGGACATCATAGATGACTGGCCTCTCAAACCATGGGATTATCAGGTGTGTCCCTTCAGGATAAACCTGCAATTTTAAGAGGTAAGTATATTGTATAGCGTAGACACAGTAGATACAGAATTTAGGAAAAAAAAGAAGAGGAAAATACATACTACAGGAATAATTATGGAAGGCACACAAATATAGAACAAAATTGTTAAATCTATGGTATTGTGATATTCCACTTTGGCTTCTATGTGTTGTGCAATGGTGTGCTGAATCCCACATAGGTTGTCTCAACGTGAGCTATATAAGGGGTTATAAGGAATCTCATTATTGACTAGCCCTTTTAAAATATAGGAACGCTTCCTTAGGTCATGACAAATGTGTTCATCAACCACTTTTTAACACTACCTATATGTTGCGAATCATCTAAACTTAAAACAAATAACTCCATTCTCTGGCAAGTTATAGGCTAAATAAGTAGTTCTTCCTATTTCTAGCCTCAACTGATGCCAAATGGTCTTGATGACAAAAGTTTAATTCTTTCATGTGTCAACAATAGAAAATGGGAAATATATGAGGACCCTAAAGTCATGTCTGACTACAGCTCTGCTATTCTTAAGGAAAAGAATTACCAACAAATGCACATATTTCCTAAGTACAAGAGTTTGAGGAAAGTATTAACCTTGTCTTTGATACCAACAAGACGATTGAACACAATGGCCCGATGCCCTCCATCGACATTGTAGAGACTATTGTTAATTCCATATATACCAAGAGTACCAACAACTCCCACTGTAAGCAAAGTGGCAATCCCACGACCAGGCACTTTGGGAACTTTCATATTTTTCATATTCATATTTGTGAATGCTGAGTGTGTACAAGTTAAATGCCAACGTTAGAAAATCAAATTAAATCATTCAATTCTTCCTCTTGCTACAAACGAGAGGCAGAAATTGCAGGAGTAAGCTAAATGTTCATTGATGAACAGAAATATGGAGATCAAAAGGAGAAAGCATGGTGCAAGGTATATTATGAAAGAAACAATACATAAACACGACTAGAAAAGAAACACAAGCATATTCTCATCGGTTTTATTTCCTCTTGGTTTCTGAGAAAAATGAGAAACAAAAAACAAAAGAAATTGGCAATCAGAGTTGTTTCAACTTCCACAGATGGAGAACCGGCACTCAAGTAAGCTTGATAAAGAAATTGGTTCTCACTTTCCAAAACTTTCTGTGCAACCAGAAAGGGGCACAACGCAGAAAAGTGAAAACGTCCAAATACAGCAAAAAATGAGCCCCACATTGTGAATCTCGTATATGGGTTTCACCAAACTAAACTAAAATGAACAAAAACGAATAAGGAAAAAGGAAGGCATTCTTATTTCTTCCTTTTCCTCAAATTTTCTCAGCCGCCAAACATAACATAGTAATTTATAAACAAGAAAATTGGAGAAACATCGGAATAGAAAATGAACCCAACTTGCAAATCACAAATTTTGTCCCCTAGACAGTAAACACAGAACGTGTAAGCAAGAAAAACTAAGATCCAAATTGTCGACTTTTCACCAAAATTTCTTTTTTATTTTGTTTGCCCAAATAAATTTCTTACCAGCCGAACACAAAAATGTATAAATGAAGAATGAGTAGAGATCGAACCTGGAAAACCAGAAAAATACGGAAGGAAGATGAAGATAGTCGTAATGAGTTGTACAGGAAAGGGTTTAGGGTTTATGCCTATAAAGCTCACAATAATAAAAGCGAGGAATGCGGAATGGCATTTGCGTGAAGAAGGGGTTGGAATTCCAGGATAAAACGACATGTCGTATATCAATTCATTTGTCCACGGTGGCGGGAACTGAGAAAACGGTACGTCGTCATTATTCTTGGGATCAGAACTACGGAGCAAAACGCCACCGTTTTATATTACAAACCCAAAACTTAACCACCATTTTCCCTCTTTTCAAATTCTCCTGTCCTTCTGCTCTCTCTAATGTCGATACTCATCAATGGCTGAGGCATTGAGTACAAAACCGTCTACAGCGTTAAGGATAGAGCTTCCATGGCGAACCGTACCCAGTCACCGACCAGTCCGCTATTCGTTCTGGGCTCCAATGACGACCAGCTCGAACGCGCCCAGGCACGCGCCGCACGCGCCGCCGCCAATCGTCGCAAAGCGGCTACAGTTTCCGCTCCTTCTTCTCCGCCTAGCGATCCTTGTCTCAGTAGAGAACAGATTATCGACCTCTTCCAGAACTGCATCAAACTCGCCAGCGAAAATGTCCGTACATACCCACACACACTCTCTCGCTGTTTATCTATGCATATATATAAATATGTGTTGCTGTTTATTTTGAGTAATATGCTTTGTAGTTTCTTCAACAGTGCTTTCTATAATGCACTATCTGTAATTTATTATTGCTATTATTTAGTACTTAATTTATTAGGCTGTGTTTGGTTGCGGAGAAAATGCTGGAAAGGAAAGTGAACGAGAGTTAGTTCTTTCTTTCCTTTTTGAATGTTGAAGTGTCTTATTTAGGACATGGCATAATAAACGTATACTTAAAAGTTATGCTTAATTGGATTGCTTTCTCAGTTCTTTCTTTGCTAAAGAAAAAAAGAACAGTACATGAGGCTCATTCACTTTCTTTTGTTGTCCGAAGTTCTCTTAGCTTCCCGACAAATTTTATACTCCCATGCGGAGTTGCTCTTTCTTATTTATGTGAGTATATTGTGATTTGTTTTGTGTTTTTTCCTTTCTGTATTCTAGAAAATAAACCAGAAGAACACGTGGGAGCTTAAGCTTATAGATCATCTTAGCGAGATTATTAAAGTTGAAGCCGAAAATGACACAGAGACTAATTTCCAGAAGGTTCGGAGCACATATTCTGAAAATTGGTTGGTGTTGGAGATATTGTTGGGGTTTATGTACTTATGGGGATATTATTATTATTAATTTTGAGTGACTAGGCAAGTTGCACACTGGAAGCAGGGGTGAAAATTTATGCGGTGAGGGTGGATTCAGTGCATGCTGAGGCATATAAGGTTCTAAGTGGGATGAATCGAGCCAGTCTGGAAGACGAACAAGGTTGGTGCCTTTAGACATTGGCTTAGGCCTGTAATTGTTTTTGAGTGATGGGTTTGGTATATTTCTCTTTAGTTCAGGCAGTTTTGGGATTTCATAGCTTGGAGGTTCAGTGCTTCTTTGATTTTGGTCAGTTTCCTAATCAAGGGCTTTGGTGACTGACAGAAACTACTAGGGGGGATGACAATGTCAACAACGAGCAGAGTAGGGGTCAGTCTAAGAAAGAGTTGGAGAGGAAGGTATGGATTTTTATTTTTTAATTATACTGTATTAGAAAATTTGACGGCAAGTGCAAAGTATTGGATGTGGTTTGAACAGATATCACCACTGTCGACATTGGAATCCTCCTTTGAAGCTCTGAATGTAAAGAAGTTTGATGGTAACTTCACAACATAGGCTAGCCATTTTGGTCATTATCATCTTAAGCTTTTTAAATTTCTAATTTGATCTCTTTTGTCAATTCTAGTTGCATTCACGGTCGATCCTCTATATCACCAATCATCTGCACAGTGTGATGAAGGTGGAGCCAAGGGTCTGCTATTAAATAACCTTGGAGTATATGGAGGATGCCAGGTGATTTTTGATTCTTACGAAGTTCCAGGGATGTGCAGATCATTGCTTAGTAATCCCTCAGATTTGATTGATCTCTCTTTTGCCAAAGGTGTGCGAGATTAGAATCTCTCTTGTTGGATTTGCCTCAAGCCCCCTCCCCGCTTTTCGGTGCTCTTCTCTTTTAGCCATGTTTTTTGGTTTCTATGTAGAATCTATTCAGGAGATGGTGGTGAACATGCTTGCAAAGAATGAAATTTCTCCTACTCTCATGGAGATACTTTGCCAATTTGAAGAAAATAATCAGCGGTCATCACAAGATTTTAATATAGGCCAAAATTCAGATCTCAAAATGGATGGCTTTGATGATAAAGAAGTTGAGTGGGACATTTCATCCGGGAACTATGACACATGGACCATTGATCATGATGATGATATAGGTGTTGATCATGAGAATAGAAGTTTTGGAGATCCTACATTTCAAAGTCATCATGAGGTACTTGTCATGGCTACATGCTGAAGTAATTTAGACCTTGATAAATTGCTTGTCACATAACTTGTCTCATTCAACAATCTCTAGTTTTCTTTATGTATCCATGCTGAATGAAAAAGATATATGGAATAAGTTTTCTAAATTTGTGCAGGGTAATAACTCTGGTACATCATATGAAGCTGATGTAGGTGACAGATTTGAGAGAGTTTCTGCGTTTTTGTTTCAAGGTTTGGGATTGAATTCAAAGAAAAATGCATGGGCTGGTCCTGATCACTGGAAATATTGGAGGCCTAAGGGTTGGTATTACCAAGGAAATTACTTTATCAGTTTGCTCTGTTGTGGCTAAACCTTGATTTTGATTTCTTTGGTATCTATTCTGTAGGTTCAGAGGAAGCTCCTGCGACTCAAAGCAAACCAACTACTAAGAGAACAAAGAAAAGGACCATAAGGAGGTCGACCTTGATTTCACAACATCTCTATACAAAGAATTTCCAGACATCTTTGCTCCCCCAAAAAATTCCAAGTCTTTACTCCTACCTGCAAATACAGTACCTTGTAGTAACAGGCTTCCAGAAGATTGCCATTATCAACCTGAGGATCTTGCCAAGTTTTTTCTCCTTCCAGATGTTCTGGTAATATAGAATTCTCTGTGTCCTAGAAAAGAAAAATATACTTATTCGTGATAAAGTTTTGCATGGTAAGATGGGGTCTTTCATGATCATGATCTCACTCCAAGTATAGGATCCCAATTTGGAGTTTAAGTTCAGCACACGTACAAAAAAGATAAGCTATGGTCAGAGTTTGTGATGGAAACATCTTCACTATCCACAAAATGAAGTTTGTTAGTTGAAATAAAAATGAATGGTAGAGTGTAGCTTAACATGCTACTGCATTGAATATTGTTGTACTTGCACAACTCCACTTACTGTATTCTGGTTGTGTACATGCTTAATTTCATTTAGTAGTAAGGGCTGGCTTTGGTATGAGCTGAGCCTAGGTTAGCCTGATCTTTTATTTGTCCTGAAATCAGACTATGGTCTTGTCCAGTCGAAAAGATGCAAATGGTTAGTCCGTCCAAGTTGCAGACTTAATATTTGGCTTTGGACAAGTCTTCTCATGTTCCTGCTTACATTTTTAGAAATTTCTGAACCCTTATGTTGTTTGTTCTGGCTAATGGTAAAATTTCAATTTTGATTGTAGTTCTTTGGGAAGAGAAGACGGCATCATACAGGTAGCAGCTTCTTCCTTGGCATATGTTCTCACCTAATTTTATATCGATCAGCTATAATTTTCTTTTCCTTTTAAAACCATTTTTTTTTGTATACTTGCTTTCCATACGAAATAAAATTTACAATCTACCTTAAATAAATCCATACATATGTATTGAGTCTTTCTCTATCTCAGTCTAAACTTCCATCCTGTTTCTTAAGTCTATTTATCGTGCTTCATGTGGCACTTTTTTATTTTTTTATTTTATATTTTATGGTCCTTGTTTTTTTTTGGCTTATGATAGCAATCTTATTTAAATTTAGGACAAAAAAGTTTAATATCTGACCCCTCTTCCCCTCTTCTGTGATATCTTGGAAAGTACCTTGAGGAAAAATAGGGGAAGAAGATATTAATAGAATGCAAGGATGACTCTCTTGTTTTTATTCTTCAGATGATAACTTGTGGGAACAAAGTGATAATTTTGATGAAGCATTTCCATCATGGGACAACGAGAGTGTGTGTAGTGGCCAATATGGTGATAGATGTGTTCATAGCAATGTGGAAGACACGGACACACTTGTCTCTCAACCTCGTCAGGTTTCCTATTTTTCTTTTTTATTTCGTGAACATAATAAATCTATCCTGGTTCTAATTTGGGCACATGTTCGAATTGATTGGGTGAAATGTAGACTTTAGGATGCTAAGCTGCAATTATTAATAAGAAAAACTGAAGATATTTTCTTTAAAAGGAGTTACTGGGTTGAAAGTTTTCCATTGAAATTGGGTTGGAAAATTTGGGGTACGTTTACTTCGTATGTTATGTTTTGTTCATTCTTTGTTGCTTTTCCTGGGTATGCATTTGCTTTATTACCTGAAAATACTATGTCCTCATTCTTTAACAGGGCGGTATATTTCTTCATTACAAAGTTTTTTAAAAGACATAGTCCACATGAATTTTTAATGATGCTCGTCTTGAGTTGTGGATCTGTAATAGGAATTGTTGGTTAAAGACTGTCACCAGACAAATTACTTCATGAAGCTGTGCTAGTGATGCTCATCTTGAGTTGTGACTTTTGACATTTCAGGTAAGCAAAATTGAAGTGCAGTATGATAGAACTTCAAAACGAGTTGATGTTCATGCATTGAAGGAAACTCTGTGGGGTCATATGCAAGAATCTGCGGAAGTTCCTTCAGCAGTAAGCATATTCTGTTTGTATGTGTGGGATTCATTTTTTGTTTTTGACATTCTTATGAAAAACTGTTCTAATGGTCAATCAATCTACTAATTCAAGAGATCTAAGTTCATAGGAAGTTGGTTGCCTGATCCTTCCACCAATATGATAACTTTAGTATCTCTTTGCTAGCGCTCAGTATATGTTTTCATATTTTATCTACTATAGATGTTTTCCATTCATTCTGAATACCATTTTACCTACAAAAGGAATTGAAAGACACCATATCCTTCAAGCATATACTGGTCACCTTTCCCGTCAACTGCCGAGCTGCGGTGCCTGAGGATATCTCGCCCCATTTGTGTTTCATCTGCCTTTTGCATTTGGCTAATGAGTATGGGTTAAGCATACATGACTGCCCAAGTTTAGACGACTTGAGCATTCATCTTCCGTCTCATTTAAACTCAGATGGGGTGGAACAGCCTTCATCGTAGCCAAAGATGTAGTGTACATTTTGATATGTGGATATTTCAAGCTACCATGCCTTCACCACATGCAAGTCGCTAGGGCCTATTGAGCATTGCTCAAAGAAATGTAAGTCTATTTCAGTTGCCTTGATTCTCATCTTTTGTGGCATGATGGTGTGTTGATTTTGAGCATGCCCCCAACATTGCCTTAAGCATAATTCAGCGTCTCTACATGTTGTTCATTGTGTCTTTTGTGAATTATGATATGAAATACTAGTTCCCGACGTAAGTTTGCTTCTAGTTTAATAAACTGCAAACCATTTTGTCAATTATTGAATTTGAGAAGGTATGCAAGGTGAGAAGGGACTGTAGTTTCATGGGACCAATTATATGCAAATTGCAATGTAGCTATTTTTCACTGCCCTGAGCTCAAAAGCAATTTCCCCTCGGTACAAGTTACCATAATTCTTGGGAAAAAATGATACATAGAAGAAAGAAACTGTCAATTATCTGGCCCCTAGTTGGATCAAAAGGATAAGGGAGTATCTAATTTGTTGGTGCAACGCACGTTGAGCATTGCTTTTTTGTTTGTTGTTTTTGAGATTTATATTTCAAGCCTCAGATCTTTTCCTAGTTAAAGTGAATCTTATAACCTAGAAAGTGAGAAGGAAAGATATAAGATTAGATAACTAAACTAGGCAAAAGAGACTCAAAGAAGGAACGTCGGGGAGACTTCTCGTTTGGTTATTTTGGGTGGATGTTTGTCTCCATTATGTGGGCTATCTGATGTGGGTCCCCTAATTGTCTGTCTACAGAATATAATTGATGTGGATCAGTGATTTCTGAACCATTAAACCGTTAAGATTACAGATAATTCAAAGGGTGACAAAACACTTTTGACAAATTGTGGATAAACTTAGCCTGAAGATGACAAAGGGTTGCTATATCTTTGTTCTTGGCGACAGGGGTGCCAAATAGAAAAGTTTGAACGGTAAAATCATGTGCATGCATTCTTTTCCTTATCCGCTTTCTTTTGAAGCCTTTAATTTATGAATTATCTTTCGAGGTAGGGGAAGCTAGGAATTTGAGGACATTAGAGAGTGGGTGGGAGAGAGAGGTGAATCCTAGAATGAGATGGTCATAATTTTGAAATCAATTTCTGTATTAGTTGAAAGGTATTGCTTTACCAGATATTTATTTATCGCGATCATTTCACACTTTTTACAGAAATAAAACTCATTTACACAAGCAGATTTCACTTTAATTAAAGACATTATCAACAATATAATGTAATAAATAAATGTGAAAGATATATATTTAGAAAGAAAGTATTACTAATATGCTTTGACAACTAGAAATAAACAATAACAAATTAAAAAAAAATAAAAGATAAAAAGTTTTGAGCACTCTCAGGTGCATGGGGTGTAAAAGTAAGGTCATTTTATTTTGATTGCGAGAGGCTAGTGGGCCTTAAAAGTGGAGGGGACCACTCACTACAAGCGCACTAGTGCTACAAGTGGGACTGGTGGATTCTCAATAGGTCCAAATTCAGGAGGGGAATCAGTGTCCAAAAAAGGCTGAAGCTGTAGAAAGGGTGGCAAGAGCCTGGTAAACCTTTAGAAACAAAAAGAGCAAATGAAAGCAATTAAAGAATATGCTTTCACCGACCTTATCGACTATTGTCCAATTGTGTTCAGATTTCTCTCCCTCTTGAATCTTCTGTTGTGTTTGCTTGCCACAACTCAATTTTCATGATAATATTGAGTTGATTTTCAGGCAGTGGTTAGTATTGATTTAACAAGCAATAGTCTAAACTAAAGTATGAATTAGAAGGTTCCTAATTGAGATAACACACTATTATGGTGTTATAGGGTTCGAACTCAAGATAATTGGTCTGCAAGTAAAGACCCTTTTTTACTGGGCTCGACCTCGTTAGTGATAACCCAAATCTTATTAAGATAACACAAAATGTTCCTATGAAATATGTTGATAGTTTATTATTATTATTAAAAACAAGCAACATTAGGGACTGGGGTAATCAAACGCATGTGCAAAGTTGAATGCTTTTAAATTGAACACTAACTACAAGCCTCTTTGGAACCTTTTCCTAATTGATGCACAGTGAATTCAAATTATGCAACTGTATAATTTGAGTGACAGCTTAAATTAAAGGATGATGAAAATGACGACATGCATGAAGAGATAAAATTGTACTGTGATTCCGGCACTGGTTTCCTATGAAATTCTTTTGTACTTTTGACTATTATATATTATTCTCCAGCTATGATCCTGTTAGCACGACAAGTTACATATCTCTATCTTTCCTTCTATAAATATGTCCACAGGCTATACTCGGTTTCTACCACTACAAACCCCATTCCTCTCATTCCTCGCATTCCCTCTCATTCATTCCTATTCCTCCTCACCACCTTTTCAGTCCTTCAACAGAAGCCATGAACAAAGTTGAGAAACCTCAGATTCTAGTTCTTTCTCTTCTTGCCATTCTTCTCATCATCGCACCTCTATTATCCTCATCACTCAGAACTCCTTATCTCTACATCATCACTAACCTCCTCATTATTGCCCTCGGAGCACAAGCCGGCCTTCTCTCTGCCTTTTCCAACCCTTCAGATCATGACAAAGACAAACCTCTGGTTATGGCTTCAGAATTAGTATACTCTGATAAAAGGGTTGTTGCCGACAGTGATGAAGATAAAAGGGTAGGTTCCGAATCTTCCAAAAAATCTTCTGAAAAATCTTCTGAAAAGAAGGCAAAGGTTGTTGAAAAATCTAGATCAGAGAAGATTGCGGGCACTGTGAAAATAGACAGTGTCAAGAAATGTCCTTCTATGCCTAGCCTTTTCTTCATAGGGGGTAGTGAGGCTGATCAAGAAGATCATGAGGTAATTGAGGAAAAGCATGAAATGGAGGAAGAAGAAGTAGTAGTGGGGGAACTTAGTGGGCAAGAGCTTTTTACCAAAGCTGAGACCTTTATTGGGAACTTCTACAAGCAGTTGAAGATGCAAAGGGAAGACTCATGGAAGAAGATTCATGACTTTTATCACAAAGCCTTCTAATAAACTTTGCTTGCTCTCTCTCTCTCTCTCTCCTCTCTCTCTCTCTCTCTCTCTCTCTCTGTGCTTTATATCTTATAATTGTTTATATCATATTTAATCTCCCAGATCATTGGGTTTGGGGGATTATGATTGGTCAGAGGGAAACCATATAATTCAACTCATGGTTCTTCCTTCCATTAATTTGGGTTTGTACAGAACCATATACACAGTATCCCTGTTTTTACAACAAGGGGTGGGGGTTAGTCTAGTCAGGCATTGCAGACAAATTAAGATATTAGATACTTAAAAACAATTCCTTGTACTAAATCTCCATCATTCAGCAAATCTAAAAAAATATTTTAGTTTATGGTTGATGAACTTTCTTTTATTTATTTTGCTACATTTATACTGAAAAAGAATTATAAACTGGTAATTTTTCTTCTTGCAAGCTAGAAGTTTGCAGGCACTGTTACCTCAGTTGCATCTTTTGCCATAATCGAACATTATTTCCACCATCTGAAAATCTAAATACCAATGAGCAAAGATTTGCCCGTATCTATCTATTCTACCTTAAACTTGCATTCAAAAGAATAAAAACCTGAATTCGTTTTAAAAGAAAGGATAAAAACATAACTAGTGTGTGATCAGAGGAGGTCATTTTGTTGTTGTGGCTATTACTTAATACTTAGCCTGGCGCACATAGGCAATTTTAAGGAAAAAAAATTGTAAACGGGATCTAGCCCAGTGAAAAATTAACTTGCAGACTAATAGTCTCGTATTTAAATTTCCAATGCACATTTAAAGTGTGAGAAAACCCCAATATCGCTTGTATAAAATGAAAAGAAAAAAAAAATCAAAGGCATATATTTCTTGGAAGAATCATGGTTTTTGACAGGAAATAGTACATAGCAGCCAAAGAAGAATTAAAAAGAGGCAACCAAAAGTAATTAAAATGTATAATAATACTGTTTTCCTAAAAAAGATTGATCATTTCCATGCTATCTCTCAAAAAGAAGGTACTGTCTCCACCTGCTCTTGGACTGTTGTGCGTGGGTTGTAAATAGCCTGGAAATTGGAATGAGCTTGGTGCCCAAGTTTTCTAAAGATTTTATCTTTTTGTATCTTATTTCCCTTTCTGGGTAAAGTTGAACCCCTTTTTATCTTTCTATCTCTATGTTTGTGTGGTGGCAAGTGAGAGAACAATTAGAACAATATTCGTCCTTTGATTATGCGATTAATCAAATGGTCCTAAAGATCTCTCTTTTACGCATGTAATGGACCATTTTACATGCGATCATTTGGCATTATCAAACTCAAGCCCAAAACCATTTCTAATATGCCTTTGGAAATTTAGGTCAAATATTTGGAACTCTACTTTGGGAGATATGGAAAAATCAAATGTGTAAATGCACACTCAACTTAAAAATGACTAAATCAAGACTCGTATCGTATGGATGTGGTCATATATATGAACCTTTGGATTGGATACACATGCACGAATCATAGATGATACTTTTCTTGTGCTTGAGAGTTTACCAAATATTACATCATGCTCCTACCTAACAGATAATGTCCTCATCCTAGGTTTAGGTTTGACATCTTATATGTGCTTAAAAGTTGTACAAGTTACGAACTTGGTATGAAGCATATGTAATATAAGGCCACAGAAGCATATACATATTATAATTCCCGGGAATAGTCCAAGATAAGCATGATATGATCTATGGTCATTTTTTTTGGGAACCAATAAAATATTATGCTTTGGGCGGAACCACTTTAAGGGCTACAATGGGCTGTAGTCCAAGTTAGTTTTTGGAGATAAAAGAAAAAGCAAACCATATATTTGACTGGTTTTAAATATAGTCCAACATGTAAGAGTCTGAAAAAGTCCAATTCTTCTCTATTAAAAAAAAATTCCAATTCTTTATAAATTTAGTTGATGGGCATCAATGAATAAACATTAAAATAGATGCACTTTCAATTTTGTTGTTGAATATATTTTTATTTTCATAATATGTGTTGTTTGGTTGCATTTAATATGTATTTGTCTTATGTTAAAGCCTATTGGAACTTAGCATTTAACCCTGCACTCGAAGTCCTAAGTTCGATTCCCATCCCTCCTAAAATGTACAAAGTGAAGCCCAATATGTATGTATTATTATTGTTGGGGTTTTTTGTTCCGTCAGCTCCAAATGGACATAGGCTGCTGTAAAGAGCAAGTGAATGATGTTGCCCCTGTGTCTGAGTTCAAGAACCAGGCCCTAAATCACTCCGAAAGAGCTTAAGCCTTAGGGAGTGCTTTGGTTATCTTCAATGGCTCCTTGGTTCGTTGCAAGTTTTGATGTACGACAAGTATTGGAGTCTGAAGGGTTTACTTAAAGTGGAACAAGTGCTGGAAGTGTTTTGGCTTGTTTAGACGGGTGCTAGAATAGGTATTGGAAAGTGTTCCGGAGTCCGACAGCTTTGACAGATTTGAAGATGATGTGTGATGTTGTGCAATGACCATGTCAACTTGGTATAAGAGCTTTTGTGAATCAAGATTAAGCTTGTCTTGAGAGGCTTGTGGTGTTTTGGATTTGGAATATGCCTTTTTTAGAGTGGGAATGAGAAGATGGAAGAACCAGAGCTTGAATCTTGTCTTGAATAGGCCTTTTTTTAGGCTTGATGTTTCCAGCAGTTAGAGAATAAGCTTGTTCGATTGCTTTGGTTGAGTTGAGCCCCCCTTGTTATGTAGCCCATGGTATCTTTTTATAGGTGTTGGAACACCTCTTTACCCTAAAAACACTAGATGGTTTCTTCTCAATTAGCCAAGTCTTCTCCTTTCTTTCCCTTAACTTTCTCCATTATGGCATTAATAAATGAAATCTCCCTAAATCAGTTGAATTCTTGGTTGTCAAGACAAAACCTTTTGGTGCCCCAAAATCTTCCTATAGCTGGACCTTGCAAACGCTTCCTTTCTAGGCAACGCTCCAGCTTGACTTTCCTTTCTTTTTTCCTGCATGAGCTCATAGGGGTAAATATGGTTAAATGTGATGGTCAAACAGAAAGGTTGAGGCTTATCTATTTCATCAGTCTAGATATTTATGTAAACTGGATTTTAAGGGTTTCAGTTTGAATTGGGCAAGGCTGGTTAGATCTCAAGGGAAAAGGTGTTGGAATTTCTCTCTTACTTACCCATGTGTTGGCCTCAAGAAAGTGGGTTTGGGTTTTGGTGCTCCTAAGTAGCCTAAAACCTCCACATTTTGAACCCTGAACGGGCCTTATATGTAACACCCCGACCCCAAATTATCCCATGTTTTAATTTATTTAAGTGGAATTGAGAAATTACCCGTGGGATAGGGGTATTTTAGTCATTTTCTTATCCGGAAGGAATTTGGGAATTCCGGTTGTACCGTTGCGTAGAGCACGGTGAGATGAGTCCGTAGACACGTAGTGGGCTCGAATCGGAGTTGTAACGAGAGAGATATGATCAAATGAAGCTCAGTGGCATAATCGTAAATATTTTGAAGTGGGATTTTTGGTTAAAAGACGGAATTGCCCCTGTCTCTCTCACACTCTCTCTCTCCCGCGCGTCGCTCTCTCTCTCCTCTGGTTCGCGACAGCCACCGTGGCCGACCACGTTTTGGCCGGCCGTTCGCTCGTCCGGCCACCAAAGTCGACGGGGCCGGTACCAAAATGACCGGGCCGCCGTCCTCTTCCTACCCCAGCCAGGTCTCGCCGTCAGCCGTCGAGATTTCGCCGGAAAATCGAAGAGAAAAGCTCGGTTTCGCCCGAAACTTCGCCGGCTTCGTTCTCCGTCGTCCGGCCGCCATTTTTGGCGATCAAGGTATGGAAATTCATCCCTTCTGCATGATCTAGCTGATGGTTGGGTAGGATTGTATTGATTTTGAGCCTAGATCATCTGATTTTCGAGTTAGGGTTCGGCCGGATTTCGGGATGAGATTCCGGCCACTTCCGGTCAGTTTTTGGGGTACGTCCACGAACAAAAGTGACTCCAAATTAGGTGTATTACCTAGGGTAGGAGTCTGGGCTCACGATTTGGAAGTTTTCCGGCGATGGGTATCGCTTTGGACACCCACGCGCTGCCGGCGCGTGTGGCGGCGCGTGGGCACTGTAGCTGAGGGGCATTTTTGTCCCATTGTGATCCTCTCGATGTCACGAGCGCGCAGGTGTGCTCGGATCTCAATTTGGGTATCGTTAGAGTCCCGAACGGATATCGCATATCGCGTATTTTCCGGGTTCGCTGGGTTTGGACCGTTGGATGGTCCTGATATTATAATATGTTGATCTAGGTATTACCAGGATCGTGTAGGATTCGACGGATCGTAAAACGGAGTCCCGGATACTCCGGAAATGCCAACCCTGGGGTTAGGGTTTAAGTATCCGTCCGATTGTGCGATCGTGAGCAATCCGACCGTCCGATCTGGACCAAACTTGCAGGACATGTGTCCTAGAGCTTGTAGAACCTCTAGGAACTATCGGATCGGAATTTGTAGGTTGTGGGCCCCGCAGGCCCGTTTGACCCTAGGTTGACCGTGAGACTCCCGAGATAGTCTTACCTTTCCTTGAGGGTTAGGATGACCTTAGTGACAGGTCTTGAGCGCTGTTGAGTTAAATGGATATTGTGGGTTTAGGATATAAATTGGTGAATTTAAATGGGGGGAGTTTATGGAATATTTTGTTGGTTGATGTTATTGTATGATTAGAAATTATATGATATATTTAATTAATTGTGTGGACGTGTAATGATATATAAAGAGATTGAATGTTAGTTTACAGTGCTATACGCACTACCCCACGTACCCCTCATATTGTGATTAGGCTCAGGCCCAAGTGATGGTATAAGGGCTGGTGAGAATGTAGCCAGGCCCAGTGTGAGGTCGCACGCGTCTTTGGGTTAGCCGGCGTGTTGACAGACCCGTACGTGGCCGGGTACGTCCCGACGTATGAGTGGGAGTTATGGTTGTGTGAGGGCTGGTGAGAATGTAGCCAGGCCCAGTGTGAGGTCGCACGCGTCTTTG